GGGGCTGAGGTGAGAGATTTGGGGGAGGCGACCCGGGCATCTCTTGGAGATGTAAGGATTGTGGGGCCGTCCCTGTTTTGCCTGGGTGCAGATCACACCCAGCCATTGTCTTTTTTGGGGGCAACTTGGGCAATGGATCCCTACAGGTTTAGCTTTAAAATATAGCTTTTAACGAGCACAAGTCACCACATTATGCTGTCACCCAGTGACTGGGTTGGTGAGAGCAAAGCAGCTGTTGGTATGTCATGGTGGGGTTTTAAGCCCACAGAGGGTGAAGTGGGGCTGTCTGACGCTGACTGGGCATCCCCCCTGGTTGTTCTCCCCAGGCTCTGGCCAACATTGACATCGGGAGCCTCATCTGCAACGTGGGTGCGGGCGGCGGCGGGGCCCCGGCTGCGGCTGCTCCTGCTGGTGGTGCTGCCCCGGCAGGCGGTGCTGCCCCAGGTAAGGGGGGTGCTGCACCCAAGGCAGGAATCATCAGCTGCAGCAAACACTGGGTTAAAAAACTGCTTGTTTTCAGCTTGAGAGTCAGCCCGGCTCTTCCCCTTGCGATTTGTGCTTCATAGCACACGTGGGTAGAGCAAACCAGGCCCTGGCTTTAGGGTGGAATTGCACTTTGAGTCACTGTGCGGGACTGGTGTTACCTCAGTGAAGGCTGCTCCTTCTGTAGAGCATCAGGATCCGACCCTGGAGGCTGAAAAGAGAGCACCTGCTCTGTAAAAGTGTTATTTGAAGGCACAAACCCACTTTCCTACCAGTGGAAACATGTCTCCTTGGGTTGTTGGCTTGGTGCGATAGCATTACGCAGCTTGCGCTTGTGACTAACTATATGTGCCTCTTAAGGAAAAATCCTGATTATTTTCTCATTTTATAGCCGAGGAGAAGAAAGAAGAGGAAAAGAAAGAAGAATCAGAGGAATCTGATGACGACATGGGCTTTGGTCTTTTTGACTAAAAAGTTTTGTACCCATCTGTAATAAAGAACTTTTCAATGTACTCTTGTCTCTCACATGGATGGTACCAGGTAATTTAACCTCTTTGGGGGCAGGGATAAGACAAGGGGAGGAAGGGCCTTGAGCTGAGAATTCAGCCTTGCTGGAGGCTGAAGCTGGGCCTGTGTTTATTCAGGAGCAGGTATCATTTAAAGGCAGGCTGAGTCCTGCAGTGCCAGGCACTGAGCCTGGCTTCTGGTAGGGGTGTCAGTTTTTTGCCTTTGCAACAAAACTGAGCATCTTTCATAAACTGCTTTGCTTTGAAGGGCACATGTGGAAGATTTGTGTAGTTTTACATATGAAAGAATCTTTAAAAGTATATTTCTAAAGCAACTACTGAGCAGGCCTTTCCCAGAGCAATTGAAGAAGGTAAGGGCTGTCTTTCTAATGTGTGTTCTAAAATATTAACATTATGAGTAAGAAGGACTCTAAAACTGTAGGAGGGTGGGTCTGTATCCAGACCCACAGTGGACACTGCACTCCCCTCTCTGCCCAGGAAACTGGAGCTCCTCTGGTTTTTCAGAGACGTGGGTGCCCGTGGAAGGGTTTAGTCTGTGCAAACTCCTGCTTTGAATAAACTTACCCCTAAGAAAAGGGATTTTAAAAGCTTAAAGGGGTGACACCAATTTATCACAAGTCACTTACACAGATGGTTACATTGACTTTTTCCATTGTTTTCTAGAAAACTACTTAAATCTTGGTTTGTTTTTGCTCCTTAAGTAAATAACTAAGTTCGTAAAATCCTGTGGATTAGGGTGGGAGAAAACACTGGTTTCTGCAGTGTGCACACAAACTCATACAGCCAGGGTTTCACTGGTAACACCTTTTTAATAGGTCAAAGTAACTGTACAGTTCATTATATTCTTCCTGAGAATAATTTATATCCCTCAACAGCAAAAAGGGAGTGTGGTTTGTATTTGAACAGAACAGATGGCGTAACTGGAAAAAACCAAGGAAAATCTAATTACACTGCTCTACTGTAACTCCTCCCAGGCAAGATAGACAAAAGGATGGGTTAGTAACTACAGTGGGTTTAAAATATTCAACATGGCTTTAATCTGTCTTTATAAATTATATAAAAATGGGGGGGACATGAATGGTTACAGAACTCCTCTAAATGCAGCTCTGAATTGCTCTGGTACAAAGCAGCATTTTTGCTTCCAAGGAAAACAACGTTGCTACAAAAGAACTGGCACGTTATTCTGGTGGAAAAACAAAAAAAAAAAGAGACGAGTTTTCAGTTGTGTTCTACAGCTAGTTCCAAACAAATGCTTCACACATTCACATAAAAGTAAAAGGCAGGAAGATGAAGAGGGCTTTTAGTTTGTCTTGAAATGACCGAAGTCTTGAAAATATAGCTTTTTTTATTCTTTCTCTGTAAATTGTGATTAGCATATTGCGACGTTAAGTGTTCTAATAAAAAAAAAAAAAATTCCAGTCTGGATAGTTCATATACTGTGGGCAAGAATTCTCAGCCCTGAGGTTTCCCCGAATTCTTCACTTCACAATATTCTTTCTCCGCTCTGCCGCTCGGGGTAAGTTTTGGCCCCGAGGCCGTAGCCCCGGCGGCAGCTCTGGGCTGAGCGCGCTCCGTTCCCCGAGGACACGGGGGGATGATGCCGCTGTTGGAATCCCAGACCAGCTCAGCTTTTACCATATAAAAACTGGGGTTAAACTTTTTGTCACCAGAGAGAACCGAGAGCCGTCAGTCAGCTCCGAGCCAGGACCGTGCTGGGGTTAATCCTCGCTGCTGGTGGGAGGTGGAAGAACATCCTTTCGCAAGCGGAATTCTTCTTCTGATGATGAAAAAACTCTTCCTTCAGCACTTAGTGGGGTCTGGACTGACTGATCATCTTCAGCCTGGCTTGGTCGATGACATCCAGCAAGTTTTTGGCATCCACCGCCAGGGCGTGAGCGGCCGTCAGCATCTGCTTCTTGTACTCCTGCTGCAGGCTGGTCATCACGTACTGCTGGGCCAGCTTCATCTTGTTAATGAGCTCGGCCAGGTCCGAGTTCAGCAGCTTCTGGGCCATCTCGATCTGCAACGAGAAGATTCAGTCAAGTCTCTGTGCTCCTGAGAGCGACGCTACACGGCAAACGGCACCATCTGCCCTCCCTGGACAGCCCCCGGGGCTGTTTCTGTGGGCTCCCTGGAACAGATGGAATTTTGGCAGGTGTGGAGATAAAGAGCAGCACACTCTTAAATCCAAATCATAGAATCATAGAATTGCCCAGGCCGGAAGGGACCTCCAAAGGTCATCTAGTCCCACCCCCCCGCAGTCAGCAGGGACACCCCCAACTAGACCAGGTTGCCCAGGGCCTTGTCGAGTCTCACATTGAATATCTCCAGGGAAGGGGCCTCAACCACCTCCCTGGACAACCTGTTCCAGTGCTCCACCACCCTCACAGTGAAGAACCCTCTCCTAATCTCCAGTCTAAATCTGTTCCCCTCCAGCTTGAAGCCATTGCCCCTCGTCCTGTCACTGCAGGCCTTTCTAAACAGGCTCTCCCCAGCCGTCCTGTAGGCTCCCTTCAGGTACTGGAAGGACCCACTCTTAAACCCAAATCACAAACAGCGGATCTTCACCCACACCTGGAGGGTTCTAACACCTTGTTATTGGGTTTCCAGGTCACTATATTTTTATTACTATCATTAAAGTAGATCTAAAAAATAAAACAGGTCAAGAAGTGAGACATGTGCCTTCAGAACCACACGGCTGAAGTTGGGGTGATTCTCCAAGATGGCACTCAAGGAACCATCCCATCCCAAAACCATGGTTTGCTCGTTATTGCACTCATTCGAGGTTTTGCAGGAAAACGGTTTTACTCATGAACTCCACTGAAAGATCTCATCACTGCTCATCCAGAACTAGGTTATTATGGGATATCTCATCTAAACCTTCCAACCCTGCCCAGATCCCTGTCCTGCTGGGGCTCACGTGGAATATAACAGGCCAGGGCAGCTCCACGTACCTCTCGGTGGGTGGTGGTAGGAAGCACCGGGAGGCTCTCGTCTACCGTCGCCAGTAAGGTTCTTAATGCCAAACCAACCTCCTAAGGAAAAAAAAACACCAAAACCCAAGAAAATTAAGTTTAAAAACATGGAATGAATGGATGAGAGACTTGTAGCCGGAGTGCAGGATGCAACTGGTGCACTTCATCCCTCTCTGGGGTAAGAGCGCAGGTAGAACATGGCTGAGGGACTCTGAAAACCATGTTCCACCACCAAAATGCCAAAGGGTTCATTAAAAAAAAAAAAAAAAAAAAGTTCTTTTTAAAAAAATGAAACGCAGAGAAGATGGTGCACACCTCACTGCCCCTCCACAAGCAAACTGGGGAAGAAAACCACTGTTTACACACTATTGGTGTGGATGTATTTCCACACAGTGTCCAACACTCCAGCCCTCAGCCCCTGGTTACCCCCCAAAACCACAAAAAGCTCTTCTACTCCCAACTTGCCCCAAGGTTTCTCCTGCACCACTCCAAGACCTCACTGAGGAGAGAACCAAACCACTGATGTTAGGAAGGGCCTCCTTACCTTTACCATGGGCACGTACTCCTCCGGCGGCGCCGGTTGTATTTTACTGGACATTTCTATCACTGCTTTCACCAGCCCCGTCACGTTCTCGTAGACCTTGTCGTTGGAGCGGTCCAGGTTGGCCGTAGGAGGAGGGCTGATCTCCTGCGGTTGGATCTGGAAGTGGAGAAGGCTTGTTTAAGCTCCTTGTCCCCAGCAGATGGAGCTCAGCATCTTCCCAAACCTCTGATGATGAACTCAAGGGGGACGGGGGACCGGGAGGGGGGTCCGTTGTGGATGCGAGACCTTCCCATTGGGAAGGTCTCGCATCCACAACGGACCCCCCTCCCGGTCCCCCGTCCCCCAAGTGCTCTCACTCCTGGAGCTGAAGGAAATTTCCTTTAGTTCTTCTGACTGAACTGGGGAATTCCTACCAGGATTTCCCTGGAAGAGCTTCTTCCAGTGTAACTCCCACAACAGAGAAGTCAATAATTTGAGGATTGAGGAGCACAAGGTACTCGACACCTCCGAGTGCTTCACCTCTGATGGACAACTTCCACCGTTAAGGCAACAACAGGTCCCTCACTCCAGAAAAGGTGGGTTTGTGCCCCAAAACAAGGTCAGAGAACACAGTTGACGGACTGATGTGGTAAAGAGAAGAATATCGCAGGATATTTAATTGTTTTGTTAGTGAAAATTCACATCAGGTTAACAAAAATGGTGGGGATGGTGTTTCCCACCTGGACTGCTGGGGAACACCACGTGTTTTCATACAGTTTCTTTCCAATAGATCAGAAAAAATAGCTTTTTAACCAAAATCCTCTAGTTCTTACTCCCGCAAAGCTTCCATCGAGTCGGATCTGTCTGGAGCTAAATCCAACACAGACCAAAATAATCCCAGCTCAAGGAAAGAAACAAACTTTGAAAAACTTCCTCGGTATCTCCGCTCCTGAACTGGGAAACTACAAACATCCCAGTTCTCTCACCGCTATGGGATTCCCAAGCACCCACGCAGGTGGTTAAAAACCAGTTTATTTCCTACTGGTGACACAGTGTTTCACTGGAAGCACCTGAGATACCCCCCTGCTGAAACAATAAACTACTTGGATGAAACTCTAAGGAAGGAGCAAAGGATTTAGAGCGCGGTGATTCCATTTTGCTGCATTTCACTAAGTGGGTACCGACAAGGATTAGAGAGGTTCAATCTAGTGCAGGGATCAGAAAACACCTCGGGCAGAAGAAAACATTGTAATGGCCTCGAATCACCAGTGAAAGGCTGTGATTCTCATCGGTTCCAGCAATCGAGAAGTTAAAACAGTGATTGGCAAAAAGTCACATGCAAAGACATTTTGGCACAGGGCACGTAGACACACACACAGGCACTGCTTACCCTCCATGGCTATTGGTTGAGCAGAATGTGGGGGAAGGTTAAAGAAATTTACCAAAAGAAGGGAAAAAAGAAAAACAATATTAATAAAACTCAGCAGGAAGAAAAACGAAAACAACCAAACCAAAACCCAAAAAACACGCGTAGCAATCAAGAGACCAGTTAAAAAGCCTGCAACGAAAAAGGCATCCTGGACAGTAGGGGCCAGTCACTGGTGTTAGCTCTCGGTGCGTTTGGCACGGGGGGTTGCCATGCACCCCTGCTCCCTGTCACCCACCCCAACGCACGGGGAAGAGGACCATGCAAAGCTTGGCAGGAACAAGCCAGTCGGGCGAGCAGCAGAGTGGGAAACGGAGCAGAGGGGGCTCTGCAACATCCTGGTCAACCTTTACGCAAGAAAATGTTGTATTCATCTTTCAAAACTCTTTTTTTTTTTTTTTTTCCTAAAGAGAAGTCATGATAGGAAATACATGGTCATCAAACTAACTGGGTGGGTCCTGTTCGCCATGACCCATCACAGTCGTGGTTAAGAACTACCAAGAACCCCTTCTAGATGGACTGTACCCAACTCAGTTCCTACAGCCAGGCCCTAACATTTCAAGAGCACAGAGGACATCTGTGCCTCTTAACACTCAAGTTTTTGTGTGTCTATACCCAACATGAACACCATTGCTCTGCAGACTATGAAATCAGGAGTTTCTTTGGCTGAATTTGCCTCAGTGAGTAACAGAAACCCACCTATTTCCCATGGTGTGCCCTAAAGGCTCCAGAGGGCAAGTAGGATAAACCCTCTTGCTTTGTATTCTGCAGAGAAGGGAGACTGAAACAGGACTCTGAAATGGGCGTGCAGAAAAGGGACTCTGAAATGAACCCTAGAAGCATCTTCAGTCCTGCTATATGCCATCAAAAAATAATGGGCTGTTTTCTTGAAGGGGCATAAACCCATCCAATTTCATAGAATCATAGAATGGTTTGGGTTGGAAGGGACCTCAAAGATCATCCAGTTCCAACCCCCCTGCCCTGGGCAGGGACACCTCCCACTAGAGCAGGTTGCTCAATGCCCCATCCAGCCTGGCCTTGAACCCCTCCAGGGATGGGGCACTTGAACTTGGGCCTTGAACACTTCCAGGGATTTCAAAAAACTCTCGACAGAAAAAGCAACACCAGCCCTTCTTTGCCACTGAAGAAGCTGTTTAGTAAACGAATCTCGTTCACTTTTTATTACCAATGACTTTGGCTGCTCAGGTTTGTTTGTTGTCAAAAGGATGTATTTCAGAAAACATTTTTCATGTTCCAGTATCAGCATTTAGAAAGGAAATGACAGAGAAGCCAAGTTTAGTAACACATCTGTTACTGCTTCTTGACATTTTCCGAGGGTTGGCAGCCTGAAAAGCTCTGGCAGCAGTTTATAATAAATAATCCTGCTCGAATTCACCACTGCTGTCTATTTACGGTGATTCTGAAATATCCTGATAATCCTGGAAGAAGAGAGCAAGAGTGGGACAGGGAGGCAGGGCCTGGGATCAATTTGTCCTAAAATACTGCTTTGGTGGCAAGTTTTGAATTTCGTGGTCAGATGAACTGGATTTTTGCTGTATTTTCTTAAACTACCTGAAGTCAGTGTCACTTATCGCAATAGCTGTGGCCTCCGCAACGTGGATTCCTGTTCTTTACTATGGGCTTGGTGGGGCTTAGATTATATCCACTATTAGATTGTACCCACTATTACATCGAGCTGCTGGAAACAGCTGGCATCAGAAATAGCCCCACTGGGTCCCCTCAGGAGGCCCTGAGGTCACCCAGAGGTTTCCTCTTTCCTGAAGGTCCCAAAGGCAGAGAACACCCTGGGGCAGGATTTTAAAAGTGATGGACACACTAAGGAGCAGTTCCACTGACACCAACTACAGCAGGGGACAGGAAGCCACGTTTCACAGCACCCTCCAGCATCTCTCTGCTAGAAAACTGTCAAGTTTCATTTTTGGGTTGTTGTTTATTTACCGGAGATGAAACACCACATGAGAAAGTACCTGGGTCCCAGGTGAGACAGCCCATTTCCCCTCTTCCCCAGAACTAGGAGGGTTTTAAGGAGCCTTGGTGCTGCAGCAAGAGTTTTGTGGAGCCTCACAGCTCAGACGTGTCTCACCTCTCTGTGCAGGGACAGGAGACTTTGGTGCTACCCCAGTAACCAGGATCCCTGGGTGTGCTCCTTCCTGCTGAGCAGGGAGATCTCACACGCTCTTCAAACTGGAAACGAGCTCACCTGGGAGAGGTTCTGGGTGAGGAACGTGCTGAATCACAGCAGTGGAGGATATGAGCCTACCAGTTAACTCCTCACCTCCCTGGAGAGCTGCCAGGGCGTGTTTGCCCCGTGACAACATTATTTGGGAAGTTCAGTCTCTTTGGCTTTCCACGGTCTCTACCTCAGGAACAGGAAACCACCTCACAGCAGCAGTATTTCATTTTTCTGAGATGTATTTCGTGTGACACCGAGCAACGTACCTTGACGCCCTCGTTGTAGCTGTCCACGGGGCTGTTGAGGCTGGCCAGGCTGCCCAAGTGGCTGGGGGCTCCGGGGCGGGGGGGCTTCTTTGGCGGAGCTGCGTGATCTGGTTAACGAAGGAGACAATTTGCATTTCAGAGGATTAAGGCACCGGATGTACCCGCACCATTCTGGTCTGTAGTCAAGGCTACAAAGGCTCCACGTGCTCCACGCTACGAGCAGAGGAGCTGTAGGTCCTTACGTGCCTTACTCTACACCCATTCTGTGTAGGAGCTACACTTTTCATCTCTATTTCTGCTGAGGAAACGCAGAAAGGAAAGTTTGTGGAATTCATGACGTGGCTGTTTTAGTAAGATACTTCCAAAATCCCTTCATGGGGCAACTGCTCCTCATCCTACCCCAGGCCCTTTGTCCCACAGCCAGGTACCACACACACTGTGTCCCGCCTGGGAGAATCACACTTCTTCGTGGCAGAAATCACGGCTCTGACTCGCTCTGAGACCGAGAAACCTAAATTTAGGTGTCTACTTCTGTTCCACGTGTCTGAACGAAGTCCTACCCGGTGACTCAGCTTCCTCTAGACACTTCCCACCCCTTGATGAAACACTCTCTCTCTTTGGCTTTGCTGACGGCGTCTCTGGGGACCGCACGGGGAATTTAAACACGGAGAGCACCCACACACCTCTGTGGAGTTACTGGGAATGGAGCCCACCCCTCCTGAGAAAATACTGCCATAAACCTTTGGTCACGACTGCCACCAGAAGGCTTGTAACCAAGGACTGGAGATGACAGGATATGAGTTTACTGCTTACCTGGCTTACCCACAGGCTGATATATGTGCTGGTTGCCAGCCTACAAAAGAAAATATACACTTAGACGGGTCATTGCAGTGCTCCCAATGTTCCTCAGCACCATCTCCAACGCTGAGAGGAGCCAGTTCTCAACCACATTCCCAAAAGTTAAAAACACGTCCTTATTCCCCATCACTAGCTAAGCTCCTAACCACAGGTATATCATTTATACAGTAAGAAACGAATTTATTCATTTTGTATCACTCACAACAGCCCTGGCCTCTACGTTACAGTTTATGCTTCATTATTAATCAAATGTGGTGGTATTAGGGCTACAAAGATGATGAGGGACCTGGAGCATCTCTCTTACGAGGAGAGGCTGAGGGACTTGGGTCTTTTTATTCTGGAGAAGACTGAGGGGGGATCTGATCACCACCTATAAATATGCCTGACCCTGCCATCCCTGGGACAGACAGGACACGTGATATGGAGGATCCCCTGTCCTCTCCTCGCTTGGCAGAGCAGAGTGACTTAAAGGGGACAATGACAACAAGTTCCTGCCCGGTGCAACAGGAGCATCTCCTCTGTGACGACTCCACCTTCCCATGTGTCCTTGTATAATAGATAATGAGGCTCTAAAAGTGGAACCAAACAATGAGGAGGAAGGACCAGGACATTGGCTGGAGGTGTCACCAAGGTTAAGCCAGCCCCACACCACGTGTCAAAACCACTATTAAAGAGAACATCCATTATAATGCATTATTGATTACTCATGTAGGCAGAGATGAACTAACTCTACTACTCCACCGCTAACTCTACTTTGGGCTCATTTCTATCAGTTTGCTGTGGAAAACTGTGTGAAGAAGCACAACTTCCAGAAAGTAAGTTCACGTAAAAACGTATTGAACAAAGAGAAATCTGAAGTTCTAAGTTTCATAGATGATGTTCTACCAACTTAGTACTTTAGAGCAGAAAGGTGATGGCTAGAAATAAAGGCGCATATTCACCCTGACAACTCTGCAAAAAAATCTTCTTTCACTTTCAGAAACCAGGAGAATTCAACGATCCAAAGCCCTGAAACTCTTCTGCTGTCACCACAAACCTCTGAAACCGATCATCTCACACACCGTCCCACAGCTGCCCTCTCTAGTTACAAATAACATCTGCTTTCTGTCAGCGCCATCAGTCATGTCATCAGCTTTGATTTGTGTTGTCAACCACAGAAACATTAGACATTTCCCTCTGCAAACGACGTCAGAGTGATGTTCTGAACGTATCAAGAACTATAAAACCACAAAATCAAATTCTGGAGCTAGAAATGTAGTTATCACGAATTAGAGCCTCTTTTAAAACTCATTTTGTGAGTGATCACTAAGTGGTTGCTTCACACTATTTCAAATGGGGTGTGAAATTGTACTACCTTGTCTGGGACGACAGGACGTCCCCTACAACAAGCAGTTTGAGATCTGGGGGTTGGTGGTTTTTATTCTAACCCCAGGTGGTTGTGCTGAAATCAAGCAGCAGCTGGAGAAACCAGCTGGACTTTAAACCTGGTGCCACCAACAGCCACCTCCATCACCCCTCTGACAGACTTCAAAATCTCCAGGTTATCTTGAACGAGTAGCACGAAATGCAGGGATACTTTACTCGCTCTTTATATAAAGACGTAACAATAGCAAAGACAGAACAATAACTAATGGTCTTCTCCGATTTCACAGAAAAAAATCTTAGCGGCTTCCAGAGGTGAGTGTCTCCAGAGACCACGCTGCGTGTGTCATTAGGAAACTCATCCATGACTGTACTTTGGCTGCAAATGCAGCAAGAGTCCCTAAATTCTTAGGCAGTGAAGAAATGCTGCAGCCAAACGAGTTTACAATTGCATCCCTAACGAACTAGGAAAGTGTGTTTAAAATATTAACCTGAATAGTTGGAAGGTGATCCCTGGGGATAAACAGCAGACGAAACAGCAGGTTTTACCATTAACAGTCTCTTGCCCAACCCCTCCCTTCGATCAGGATGATTCAGAGATTCCAATGGCAATTAAACAATTGGAGAGACTTTCTTTTTTTGTTAAACAGACAAGAGCTAAGCCTGTAAGGAAGAAGAGCAGAGCTGCAGCTGCTGGCTGGCCAGAAATGAACGGCCCTGGGCTTTATCCCATTTGTTTCAGAGCGGATCGTTTACCCCAAACAGATTCCTGGGTAATACAACAGCAACATTTACATTCCTTGGAAGAAACCCCTTCAGATATTTAAACAACTGCAAAAGTTATTTTCATCCTGCTTCCTGTTGACAGAACTTTCAGAAAACTATCCACATTTTGAAATAAAAGGCCCAATTAGACAGGACATCTAAAAATTCTTGCAACGTATTTGTAGAAACGTGTTAGTATTTGTTTCAATGGCAGCTTCAAGGGGGAAAAAAACCTCAACAAACCCCCAAATCCCCCAAACTGCTTCATGAACAAATCCCCCAAACTGCTTCATGAACGATTCTGCCACGGATGCTCCCACAGAGGCTGAGCCTCTTGGAAAGCTGTAGAGCCACGTAACGACAGTGGAAACGTTCAGGAAAAACTTCTCAATGCCCTCCCATCCCGAAGCCCGAGGGAATGAGACGCTCTGGTGGGAAAGCAGAGAGAGAGGTGGGAGGTGAGAAGATCCCCCCAACACTTACTGGGCCCTGGAGACCTCCGTCCTCGCGGTCGATGCTGCCTCTGGAGAGCCGCACGTCGGGTTTCTGAAACAAAGATCCAACAGCTCAGCCCCATCCCAGCTTACCCACCCCCCGGGCGCCCTGCCCTTAAAATCATTGGAAAGGCAGGAAAACACTGTTAAAAATGTACACTGACAAATAGATCCAGCCTGTATCCCCCCCCCGGTGCTGCTGCAGCTGCTTCTCACCCCCCTTCTCCACACACGTGGGGAAAAGCGCTCGTTATAAATATTGACAGTACCGTTTCTCTAACACAACACTGGAAAACCTGCATTTTGATTTTCTCAAAGGCAGCAAAAGTTGATCTTTTTTTTCTTTTAAATAAATAAATAAATAAATAAAATAGTTTGCTTCCCAACAGCAAAAATGCCAAGCCCGGGATGAGAAAGGCTGCGCATTAATTCCCGCTTCCTGCCTGACGGCGGCTTATATGTCCTTGGCTCCCTCTCCAAGCCTGCAAAGGGGGCCAATTACTGGAGCTCTTTAAGCACTGCATTTGGATAGAGAAAGCTAATGAAGGCAGCCAGATGCACAATCCTCCTGATACAAGCAGTAAGCTAATTTCTAGTTCAGAGGTTTTTAGCAAGATAGGGGAACTCAGGGCTCGGTTGTTTTAAAAAGTGAAAAAAAGACCCCACCACTTATTTCTTTTTTCCTAGTCATTGTTCTCATCTCCCCAGCAAATCCAGGTGTGTGATATTTATTCTTTGAGGACAACATTAATTACACAGAAAGACAAGGGAAGGGTGGGTGTAAAACCAAGGTTAATGCTGATCTGAAGGCACGAGTTCAGCAGCACGGGAGCGCTTTCCTACTGCACTGATTCTGGCACCATAAAATCAAAGAGGATTTATCTGACTCTTCCATTCACTCTCCAACAAGAGCGGATGAGGAATTAATGAAAATGGATAAAATGTGTATCTACGTCAGTGAAAATACAACCCCCTTCCTCAGCCTGTACCTATATATACACACAGAATGGACACACAGCCTGAGAATGAAAAAATGTTATTTAGAGAAATGTAGGCGTGTGAATGCTGACTGTTACTAAACTGACCCCATGTTCTTCCAGGGGACAAATATATCTGTTTTTAGTTCAAAGCTACTCCAGATCCCTTTCCTTCTCTCTTTTTAAAGAATAATTCCAACTGGCATATCCTACTACATGACCCTAAAAAGCCAGCAGGGCAGACAGAACTTGCAAAGACACACTAATATTGATCTTTTTATTATTAAAAATACTCCAGTTGTGCCAGTGCTCTGTCTGAAGGGTTTATACTTTGGGTTTTCATTCAGTCTTTGTCAGAGCCAGAGCCAGTCGCTGCCTGAAAGAACTTGGAGATTAAAAATACACAAATCACCCGAGACAGGGAAATATTTAACCCCGTCTTAAACACGAAGAACTGAAGCAGACACGAGCAAGCAATTCCCAATATTTCTCTGGGAACGTGTGACAAATCCCCTGCTAAAAGCCACCACTGATGAATTTCTAGTTTATTCCCTTATGATAAAGGAATTATTTTTCTGATTAAAGTCTCCATTGATATGGGTATGTTACATACTTCATTAGACAGCTAAAGTCAGTCCTGATTCTCATTGTATTTTTAAGCAAATCACTGTCCTTGTTTATCTCAGCACATGACTAATGACATTTCTATCACACTGATGTTCACAATTTGCCTTCGTTTCATGATCGTTTCCAGCCAGGGAAGTGCCCAAAGTCTTTGGAAATAGTCAAAGATATTTTAGCACAGGAGTCCACGATGTTCTTTGTGCTTTTAATGATGTATCACTCCAGAAATGCACCCTAAACCCGACTCCAAAGAGAATATTGTGATATTGAGCATTTTAAAAGATTCAGAAGCACAAAAATACACATTAGTTCTAATAACAGATTTTTTTCTGGTATTAAAAGAAAAAAGCTAAATTAACAGACAAATCATCCATCTCCTCGTCTAATGAACAAGGTCCTCCTCCCTTCCAGCATCTGAACCCTCTAAATGCCCAATTCTACAACTTCAAATCGCAGCAGTAATTCAATTACCCAAGTCACCACCAGCAGCAAAGGCCTCAGGACATGACACACGTGAAGAGCACACAACCACCCAGCTACAGCCCAAGAATCGTTTCACAGAAAGGTTGCAAATACACATAAACACACATAAAACATTACTAAAATGAGTATTATTAACTTGACAAACACTTGTTTCACCCATTGCCAACAAAAATACCGAGTCCTCTTGACAGCAGTGGTGTTGGCCAGGCATCTCTGAGAACCTGAACCGAGAAGGAAGCTACCAAGTGCCAATGGGTAATGGCAAAGCAGAAGGTCCAGGAGCAGGTCTGCAGAGCCACACAGCCCACCTGCACCCCAGCCATCTGCGGGTCTTAAAAATAAGGACTGAAAATCTTCAGTGTCACAGAAACACAAGCCCTTTCAGCTTCTACAAACGTTTTCCTCCTCCTGCCCCATCAAAACTTGGACAATAAGGAACAACAGAGAAATAGTTGATGCACTTTTGCATCCAAAGACTAAGAAGAGGCCCAAAAGTATTTCATAGAATCACAGAATTGCCAAAGCTGGAAGGGACTTTTAAGATCATCAAGTCCAACCATCAACCCACCATAAACCCGACAAAATCACCACTAAACCATGTCCCTCAGCCACGTCTGCCCGTCTTTTAAACACCTCCAGGGATGGAGATTCCACCACTTCCCTGGGCAGTGTGTTCCAATGTTGTATAACCCTTTTGGTGAGGAAATTTTTCCTAATATCCATCCTAAACCTCCCCTGGCACAACTTGAAGCCATTTCCTCTTGTCCAATCACTTACTTGGGAGAGGAGACCAACCCCCACCTCCTGAAAGGAGGTTGTAGAGCCTTGATTTCTAGTAACTTGACTGTGTTCTAATAAATTCCAACAACTATTTTAGTAAATGATATTCTGATTTCTTCATTTGTGGAAGCTTCAAAAGACAAACTTTAGACACCATTTTACAGTGAGTGTATTTTTCAAGCCTTGAAGCTGAGCAGTGACCAACTGTGATGCCAAACCATGGGCAGATGGGCTTCACTCTCCAGTATGTCGGGACTTCTCAAGCACACAAACAACAGTGCTCTGAATTATTTCTTGTGAAAGCTCCAACTGCACTAAACTAAAATGCCGGTTTAAGCAAAACCTTTTCTACTTACTATTATATTAATTACAGATATATATTTAAGGGAGGAACTATACGCTATTAAAATCTTGCATAAAATCAAAATCTTTCAAAAGTAAATGGATTTTTTTTTTCCTAATAAACAGTCTACTGTCTGAAATCTTTGGAAACATCAAGAGGACTTTTCAGACAGGATGCATATGTTGACAAACTGGAACATAATTTACTTTATTTCCAGTATTTCTGGTCACTCGCTAATAAAAGAACATGTAAGTCTTGGCATTCTCAGGACAGGCCAAATTGCAATGTCTTGGTGGGATTTTCTCAGGCTAAAAATTAAAATCTTATTTTAGCAACAGTTCACATCAATTACATTCGAATTGCAGTTCTCAGTAGCAAAACAGGACAAAACCACAACTATGTGGGAATTTCAGAAAAAAACCCACCACCAAACACGATAAGGGAACTATGTGAGTTATTTCTTCTGAACCTATCACGGGAAAGGACTATGAATTTTTTAGCACAACTCTGCTCTCTCTGCTGAGGAGTTACCAACAGGCAGCCACATATATATCTTTATTTTATAGTATTAAAAACAATGCCCCATACCATCAACACAGCCACAAAAGAAAGGTTCAAACTGGAAACTAAATGTAAATGAGGAAAACAGGACCCGAAGAAGAAAAGCCTTCTGCAAAATGTTCAATTAGTGAAAAGCAACAGCATAAAAATCCCTAATTTCACTCTATCCTGCTGAAATGAAAAGGTCACCTTGAAAAGACACAGAATGACATAGTTTCTTTCCCACAACTTCAGTGAAGCCAACCAACTGGCCACCAGTTGAGAAGGTGCCCTCACGGCATCGCCACCCACCCCCTGGTTTCCCCTCTGTGGTTACAGCAGATTCCTCCTTTTGGGTCAAACTCCTCATTAAAATACACAAGGTGCACTCTCTTTCCTAGGAGCAATTAAAAAAAAAATTAAATATCAGGCTAGTTTGGGGCAGTTCCAAACTTCTGTTGAAATCCACAAATAAAAGCATCCTCAGGGGGCCTTTAAAAATGATTTTAACTTGATGAATTAACTTTACTGTTAAATTAATCCTACACATAAGGAGTCAGAGCTGGAAGATTAACATCCACATACTGTGCCCATAATAGAGTGATTTGATGTATTCTATTTAGTATATATAGAGAGTAAATATTCTATATAGTATTCTATACAGTAATTCTATATGCTATGCACTACGTACAAGTGAAATCTTGGTTGATCTTTGTCAGTTTTATTTTTTGGGGTGGAAATAGCCACGTGATCAAAAACCAACCCAGGAGAAAGTGCAGAATGAGAACTTTATGAATTTCTTGTGATGCTGCCTGCGTGACCGAGGTCCAACCACCACAGGAGTGAGTGAGTGAAAACCTCTGTGCGCGAGACTCCAGCACCCAAAAAATCCCAACAGAAAGATTCCTTACGTAGAAGACCAAACAGCCATGACTTGTTTGATATTGGTACTGCAGCCATCTCAGGCCTCTCATCTGCAGGGACTGTCCTCTGTAGTTACCTGTATTAAACCTTAAGCACAATTAGACTTTGTCTTCGTTTCGGCTCCCTCAAAAATAATTCAGATATTTCCGTCCTCCTTCCTGAAGACCTTCTTTGAGGTCCCTTCCAACCCTAACCATTCTATGATGCCGATATCCAAAGCCCTTATGAAGACAACATGAAAGCCTGCAAGTTTAATCCGTGTCCATTAGAGCAACATCCCCTCTTATCAGGGGTGGGAGGGAGTGTCAGCCCTGAAAAAAATAAGTCCCCCCAAACCAAGCCCTCCACCAATTCTCTTTTCACCTCCCGATGGATATATTTGGTACAATTTAAAATTAAACATATCTCTTTACTCTTCTTTTTTAAGCAACAGGTTTATTTTCATTCGGGAGCTTCCCATGAAGAGAGATTTGTTTGTTTTCTCTTTTCACTGCAGAATTTCAGAATTGTGGGTTCTGTCACAGCTGCAGCTTGGAAGCACAATTTCTATCTCCTTTCAAGTATCGAGGAGTCACAGGTTCTCAAAGGACCCATTCCAGGCAAACTGCTTGCACAGATACCACCCTCTCCAGAGGCTGCCAAATTTCCATTTCAATGGCATCACAATTTAATTCTTCATCTGGGGTGTCTCTTGGAGCACTCCCTGAAGGACATGGATGGAGGAGCGTGTGCACACAACACATGGACTATGGTGTACTGACAGGACGAGGGGTAATGGTTTTAAACTGAAAGAGAGGAGATTTAGATACTGGGAAGAAATTCTATACTCTGAGGGTGGTGAGACTCTGGAACAGGTTGCCCAGAGAAGCTGTGGCTGCCCCATCCCTGGAGGGGTTCAAGGCCAGGCTGGATGGGGCTTGGAGCAACCTGGTCTGGTGGGAGGTGTCCCTGCCCAGGGCAGGGGGGTTGGAACCAGATCATCTTTAAGGTCCCTTCCAACCCAAGCCGTTCTATGATTCTGTGATTTCTACACTGGGCCTGTGTTTGGATCTCATGTATGAACTGTGGGCATCCTTCTGGAGACCTGCAAGGCCTCCAAGAGTGATGTCCCACAAGACTTTTCTACCAGCTTTATTTCGTCAGGGCAGACCTAGAGAACCCCATTCCTTTCACAAGAAACACCCATTTATCAACTGCAAGTTCTTCTGATGTACATCCTCCAGTGGATCCAAATGCACCCCGTGGCCATCACTGGCTTGTTTCGCTTTTGACCCAGTGTGTAGATCTGTAACAGGCATTAGAGTATAAACCCAAAGTCTGTAGAGTCAAAGTGTTAGTGCACTAAGAAAAAGAACTGAAGTTTCTTATGGATTCCAATTCCTCATTTTGGTCATTTAAGTTCATTTTGCCTTTTTAACCCTCTAAGTGTTTACATGGACCCAATGCAGCTCTGGAAAGCTGCAGAACTCTGTAGCTGCTCACACAGTCAGCAGTGCTAGTTCACCCTCGAGTAGGGGGTGGCAATAGAAATGGTGTCTCCTCGCAATAAAAACTATCACATCATGAAAACACAGTAGTTCTTTTCCAAACATATGCTACCACTGTATTACAAATCAAAAGAAACATCAGCAACTCCCTCCTCAGGCAGCAATTTGGGGGGATGCTAAACTCCCTAATGGTTCAGAGTAACAAATACTATAAATAATTAGCATCTGTTCTGCAGAAAAAAAAGCCAGAAAGTTTAGAAAGATCAGAGAGTTTTCTGCAGAAAGTTCTCACACAATCTACTGCCACCTGAAATCACAATTCTCAGTGAGTATATTAATTAATTCATTACTCAAAAAGTTCTTGACCATCTTTGAAAGCTTTAACCGACAATGGGATCAATTTGACCTCCTGGGCTTGTGAAAGACACAAACTACTGGTGCCACTTAAGACTGGAAAAGTTAATGCCTAAATTAGGGAAGAAATTTTCCTTTCCCTTCCCCCTCTTCAGTTTGCACTACACTGGACAAAGCAATCTGGGTACAGTGGATTTTTTAGGGTCATCCAATGGCAAACCGCAAATTCCCCAGTGCACTCTGGAGGAAAGCAGCCAGAAGCAGCTTCAGCATCCTTTAATCAAGGAACATCTTAACGATCTGGCTCTTGGCTGGAACGTGCCCTTGGGACACGGAGGGATCTACCCGTAGCCCTCGAGAGCCAGTAGGGATTCATCCTACCTTGGTTGTCTCCACAGCCAGCAGCTGTTCTGAACAACTCTGAATACCACACATAACCACACCCCCGAGAGACTCAGACAATGCAACTGGCAAAGAACATGGTCTTGGTAACACCAACTACGTACGAGATCTGCTCTCCATTCCCACCCACCGCCCTCCTGTAGAAAATCAAACTTTTGATTTTCAAGGAACTCAATGTCTTGGATTCAAGATCCCTAAAAGACTGTTTTGAGGTTTGTGAGACAATCATGACCAGCAGTTTTGCTGTTTAAAATAAAAATAAATCCTCTGTACAACTAAGATTTTTCCTGGAGATCTCCTCTAGACAGTGCAGAGAACAGAAACCACAGACCATTATCATCATCTGTTTTAAAGGCTGAGGGACTTGGGTCTTTTCAGTGTGGAGAAGGCTGAGGGGGGATCTGATCAACACCTATAAATACTTAAAAGGAGGATGAGGCCAGTCTATCTTCAGTGGTGCCCAGTGACAGGACAAGAGGAAATGGGCACAAACTTGAATACAAGAAGTTCCATCTAAACATGAGGAGGAACTTCTTCCCTTTGAGGGTGGCAGAGCCCTGAAACAGGCTGCCCAGAGAGGTGGTGGAGTCTCCTTCTCTGGAGACATTCCAAACCCACCTGTGCAACCTGCTCTGGGTGGACCTGCTTTGGCAGGGGGTTGGACTAGATGATCTCGAGGTCCCTTCCAACCCCATGTCGTTCTGTGATTCTGTGAAACAGAGAACTTATTTATTCAAACTTACCTCCTGTAACAAACCTATAACCTATGGCACCTGCATTTATACAGACACGTTTTACAACTACATTCAACATAAAGGCTTCCAAACAGAAACTTGTAATAGGCTTCCTAAGACCAAATATTGTTTGTCACAACCCATAGCCCACCACTGTCCACACATCCACCTCTCCAGTGAGGCTCAGGCATCCACAGGCTCCCCAGTTCTATAAGAGTAATATGCTACCACCACCTTCTGCTCCATCTGGAGCCATCAGTCTCAAGCAGGAGAATTTTAACACAGAACTTGAATTTTGACTGCCAGGAAGCCAGAGTTCAACTGAAAAACAGACAGCAGTAGCTCTGACAACAAGAAACCATGGAACTGCAGAAAAACAGCAACAGGAGAGCCCATCACCAATGAATCTCCTCTTTCTCCTCCTGGTGATGGTCAGAGCTTTTTCCCCACCTCACAGAGCTCTCTCTTACATTATTTCTTCCCACTACTGTGTCCCGTTATTCTTCCAGTGCTCTTCCTACACTTAGGGTGGGCAGATGCCTGATGGTTATCCCTTTTTTTAGGGATAGAGATCTAAAGAGACAGATCTGTCTCCTTAAGGAAATCTCCAGTTTGGCACAGAGTTACACCCACAGCTTCTCACACATAAATACTCAACTGGATCAAGTGAAACCGACTGAAAAACCCAGCTGGTCAAGGTGTGTATAATCCAGGACTCGCTCATTAGCTGCACACCTCATTTAAAAACTGTTTCCAAACCTACACACAAATTGGTAGTGACTCCTATGGCCACTAAATGCTCTCATTTCACAGAAGCGATGGGTTTTAGCAAGCTGCAATAAAAAGTGAAAAACCATCATGAATTCAGAAGCACCACAAAACAAAGCATTACCAGGAATCGCTCCTCTTTCTCCAGCCAGCGCTGATCTTCCTCCATCTCCTGCTGCTGTCGTATCAACCTCTCCTCCATGAGGTGTGTGGGGAGAACCTGGCCCATTCCTCGGATGTCCAAAGTGCCCGAATCCTACACAACGGAGTGGGTTTATTCAGCCTCTCAACTTCAAATTTACATAAACAGCTGCAAAGACTTACAGATTATAAAAGATTTTTAAAAATCCCAAACGCACAGCAGCAGTCAGGCAGAGCTCCTCCAACTCCTTATAAACTGAAGCAGACTGTAAGAAGAAACCCTTTCCAAGTACAAACATTTTATCTGCCTTGCTCCTAATCACTGGAACCAGAAGGATTTGAAAAATTCTGTTCTGTTTTTCAGCAACGTTGTCACATCAGAGATTGCACTTCATTTAAGCTGGACAACAAAGACAGATTTATCAATTTTCTTTTCTTGGTCTTGAGCAATAATCTAACTGCCCAGTCGTTAAAAGCTGCAGGATACATTTTTTACTCCAAACAAACACGCTTTCCAGTTTTAGCTGACACTTGCAGAGCGTGTCACAAAACCATTTTTGATGATTTTTTGGGTATATTTTTATGCACGCCTTAAGCTTACAAAACTGAATATACCATATCCTGATGCTGCCTGGAAATCATTAGCAAGTGCTGTATATATAAATCAGCATTCTGAAAGCAGCCAAGGGGAGTCTGGTCACAAACTTGACTGAGATCCTTTTTAGGTAACCAACCTTCCCAAGCTTTTGTGAAACCTTTGGCTGTAACATTTTAACAAACATTTGCAAATCATTCATATGCTTCCACCAACACCTTATTCAAGCAGAATGTCGTCAAACCGAGTTGTTTCTCCAGTCAATGATCTCCAGGGATGCTGAAGTGCTTGGGACTACAACCCTCAACTAAATACGGTGTGAACAACCAACAGGAGCACGGCAGCAAGTTGCAAGGGCAGAAGATATGGGCAAATCAAAGATAAGCAGAGGAAACTGAAGAAGTAGACACCCATCTGCTTGCTGGTATGTAAGGGGGAAGCCTCAGTGACCACTTCAATGTTTATCAGAGGGAAGCATCAGTTAAGAGGAAATGGATTTAAGACAGAAGCTGCACAAAGTGAGTCTTGATAAAATGGAATGAAAGAAGTAGAAAATATTGGAGGAGACAGAAAAAACACGACCGAAGGTTAAAGGGGAATTAACTTGATGCTCCTTGCAGCAGCTCTGTGCAATCCTGCCAGCCTGAAAAGCACCCAGCAGGAATACAACACAAACACAGCTTTGCAAACTCTTCCATTTTCTGTTCTGGATAAGTTACGGAGAAGCCCCAGATACTTTAGCTACGCTGGGTATCTCCCACAAGAGGTATTTTAAAATGTTAATGATATTACATATTTTTACATGAATGCTCCCATCTCTATTAACAGCAATAAGTTTCAGTAAAGCCTTCTTTTACCAAATGCAAAACATTTGCTATCACTCCCTTAGTTCCGATAATAAGCAGTAATAACTTCATCAAGAATTTGTATAAAGAGTACACGTTATGCCCAGCCTCACACAGGAGGATTGGTTTCACAAAGAAGAGATTTCAGTCATGACTCCCATCCCACTGCAGTAAGGGAATTTAAGAAATACCAAAGAAACACTCAGTTCTCCTACAGTAATCTCCAGATGTACCTAAATAATAATAAAAAAAGCACATTTACTGTACAGAGCACAACCACAGATGTGTCAGTTCATGATACCTCCATGTTTGGTTGCCACACTGATATTTCCTGAGGCCGGTGGTTCCAGGAATCTGCTTGATCCAAGAGAGAAGCCTGCCCAGGGTAAATGCTGCCCGCCATGGCTGGTATCCCGTGAGAACCGGGGTAGCCAGACACCTTTAGGATTTAAAAAAATTAGTTATATGTCACAAAACCTCTTTTTTAAATCTTTGAGAATGCCTATCAGAACATAACTCTTTGAGAATAACTATAACTCCATAGAAATATAACTTTTGAGGATAACTATCACTATTTGAGGATGCTTATCCAACCAGAAACATTAGAAATTATGTTTTAACCTTTGCAGTCAAGAAGATCCAAGTTCTTTGATGAACAAAACCAGATCTACTGATACATTTGTGAGAGCTACAAGCACAGAGCTCATATTGAAGTTACTGGGAGCCTGCACACATCGCCCTACAGAGCTGGGTAAAAACATCCCCCCCGGTGTGTGCTACAAGCTTAAGTCTTGAGTGACAGCCCGTACTCAGCGTGCTACGCTGTGCAGCCTCAGAATGGCTCCCCAGGAAAATCAAAGTAGTTGTAATGAGTATGAGGTACTCATGAAAACAATGAAATCCTCCCCCTCTCCATAGAAAAAAACCCATAATCTCGCCCGAGACTGCTGTATGTGGCTGCAGTTTGAACAAATCCAAGGATGCTTCAAGCACTCTCATCACAAACTTTTGTTTTAAAATTGCTTCAGTGGTTTTAGGAAGAAAAGCAAAACCTGTGAGGACACCATGCAGTAGATCTGAAGGCACCTTTCAGGCAACAGAAAATAAAAATGGTTCAGAGAATCATCAGGGAACCCACTATCAATAAGGAAAGTCCCCCAGTCAATGCCATTTTATAAGGCAGGTAATTTTATAGCTTAACACACGTGTTAACAAAACACCACATTCCTTCAATTAAAATGAAAACATCTGATGTGTTTCACTGTTATTTTAGGAACCTGAGCACCGTATCAGATATGGAAATACCTGCCATCTGCAGCTCCACCTGTTTGGGGTTTGTTCTGATGTGAACCCAAAAGCATTTAACAGAACTCAATGAAACTAAACCATGTAAGAAGGGACTCGATCCCACCAGCTGCAACCCAGTTAGAAACCCCACGTTTGAAAAAAACCCCCACACAGAGTGTTAAATGTAATACCTGGTAATGGTTTGGCTGTACCATATGCTGTGGACTTGGGTAAAAGCCTTCACTGGATCTGGGACTGGGGTAACCAGGCCTGCTGGGCTGTAAATGTAAAGGAATTTTTAGAGACTTTAGAAACAGAAAAACTAAAACCAGAAAATTACTCTTTGGTGAGACAAACATTTACAGGTGGTGCACCACAAAAGCAAGCTCAAAACCTCCCCCTGAGATGAATACTCTAAAATGACTCACATTTTTTTTAAACAACTAAAATGAAGTTTTCCTCCATTTTTCTTTAGAAATGGAAGCAGCTGAATTGTTTGCAAGGTATGTCAATGAATAATGCTTGCTCTGTTTATTCTTTGTGTATTTAATCGCTCACACTAAATCATAGAATGGTTTGGGTTGGAAGGGACCTCAAGGATCATCCAGTTCCAACCCCCTGCCATGGGCAGGGACACCTCCCACCAGACCAGGTTGCTCCAAGCCCCATCCAGCCTGGCCTTGAACCCCTCCAGGGATGGGGCAGCCACAGCTTCTCTGGGCAACCTGTTCCAGTGTCTCACCACCCTCACAGGAAAGAATTTCTTTCTAGTAGCTAATCTAAATCTCCCGTCTTTCAATTTAAAACTGTTCCCCCTCGTCCTGTTGCTCCACTCCCTGATGAAGAGCCCCCTCCATCTCTCCTGTAGGACCCCTTCAGATACTGGAAGGCTGCTATAAGGTCTCCCTGAAGCCTTCCCCAGGCTGAACAACCCCAACTCTCTCAGCCTGTCCTCCCAGCAGAGGAGCTCCAGCCTCTGATCATCTTTGTGGCCTCCTCTGGACCCGCTCCAACAGGTCCATGTCCTTCCTGTGTTGAGGACTCCAAAGCTGGACACAGTGCTCCAGGTGGGGTCTCACCAGAGCAGAGATTCCACCTGGAGTACTGTGTCCAGCTTTGGAGTCCCCAACGCAGGAAGGACACGTATCAGGTAACAACCTGGGGATGGGAAAACAAAACAAAATAAAAGTAAGTTGCCCTCCCGTGACTGCTGGGAGCAGCAGAAGGTGCCACCCCAGAATACTGAAACCATGATTAGCAGCAGAGCTTGAGTGGAGAGCTGCAGGAATCCATCACAAACTGACCACAAGGCAGGTAATATTCCACATTACAGTGGTGACTGCACAAAATTAAATTCTTCAAAATACAGGCCCGATCCTTTAACGGACAGCAAAAGAGCTGTGATGAGAAGCAGACAAGTTCCCAAGAGAAGAGAGTGTTCTGCAACCGGTGAGGTTAGACCATCACAGCTGCCAAACACCTCAGCAACATCCAAACAGCACAGACATGGAATGAAACAAAATCAAGTGTAAACTACAACACTTGGAAGCAAACCCCTAATTTTCTGTCCAGAATAACGAAAATGCAATTAGTTGATTTGTATCCTCTCCTTGGTGTGTTATAAATAAACTTAACGTTGCCCCGAGAGCTCACCAACTGAAGTTTCAGAGGAGTGATACAAGAAAGAAGAATTAAAAAAAAGGCCAGGAAACGATTTTCTGGCAACTATGTTAGTCTTTTACAAGTTAAACACTCAAGAAACAGAAAATCATCGATGCAATGTTCTAGCACGGACCAGTTCTAGTAACAGGTCAAGTAGAGCCAGGTCATTTCAGGCAAGTATTAGCAGATGATGAGAAAATTGGGCAGAATGCCGTTGTTTGAACGAACCCATCAAAGGGGGCTTTGAAGAAATAAATGGAATAAGAAGGGGTTTTTTTCGTTTATTCTTTAAAAACACATAATTTGCAGTCTTAGCTACCTTGGGAGGAGCTTCATCCGATCCTCCCGAGTCCCAGGATACTGTGACTTGTCGCCTGGATTCCATTCTCATTCGTTCTTCTTGCTGCAGCTTCTCTTCCTCCAGTATTGTACTGCAAAAAACGGATCACATTAAGTAAATTATATTAAGTAAAACTCCAGTTCAATATCTGACACACCTCTCCCCAGAGCTCCCACACTTTTCAGACTAATGAATACTACTCGACAAAGGCAATGAGAACTGGAACACAGATTTCTTTTACTTATATTTGTTAGGTTTCTGAAAACCAGTATCAGGAAGAATTAATTCTGTAGGATTACCCATGTTCTTTTAGTACCGAGATTTTAGAAAGCTGTGGTTGATCTTGTACAAACATTTTTTGCATGTTAACAGCTCTTTCGCTGTGCAATTACACAAAGAAATCCTTGAAGGCAATCAATCAAGCACTTACTTGCATGAAGATTTATTTTTCACAAGAAAATATTCCTCTGAGCTGTTGTAAAGGTTCAAAATGTTCTTTACTGAAACTCAACAGAGCTTCAGATCCCTGGGAATTTTTTCTTTTTTAAAACAAAGCAGTCAAAAAGCATTTTAAATACTACATCTTCAGCTCTTACATTTTAGCCTGATCAGGAACACATTCAGCAAACCAATTTAGCAAGACAGAAGTATCTGAGAGTATTCATTCAGCTTCTAAAGGTTCGGGTCAAAAGGCAACATTTTCAACAAAGCACAAGACAGTAGTAAAACTCGTTCGCTACTTACCACTGTTCTGACTACTAAAAAGACTCTTTGAAGTTCAACGTGATACTGCTGCCCCCACAGCAGCCTCCTCCCAGCTCTGCTATGTGGATTATTAATGTTGGATATTTGCCATTTGAAAAAAAAAAAAAAATACTCAGAATGAAGCTTTGAAAGAGCGAGCTGCAAACTCGCTGGAGCCGCACGCTACGCGGATACTCCGGAGACGATTTACATATCTTCTATCCCCAGGGGAAAGATAATCCTGTAAAGGAGCTATTCCAGCTTCTTTATCACTCAGGAGTTTCCAGAAACAAAGCTAGGTTCTGAGTTCATAATCTCCTCTTCAGTCTGCTAAATAACCACCCAGAATTACTCATACAGGGGATGAGATCAACCAGAGCAATCTATTCTAATCTTGGAACTTTGCAGCTCATTTCAAGAATAAATTCCTGCTTGGTTGGAGACGAGAACTTTGCTTTTCCTTACTCAGCCAAATAAAAAAAATAAATAAGCTCTGCCACTTCTAAAAAGCAGAGAAGTCATCTCGTCTCGCTGCAGCCAAAGCAATTTGAAAGTATTGCTGCAATTTCAATCCATCATTGCTGAAGTAAGAGAAGAATGTGGAACAAAAACAAAATCAGACAAGTTATTTGGGAAAGTCATCCTGATACAACTACCACGGAAACACAGCTACAGCCCAACCGGGGGAACTAAAAAGAGAAAAGTCTTTTTATTTCACTTTTCTCTTCCTTCAGAATAAGGAAAATGAAACGTTTCCTACTTGGTCCCATGAAGAACCAGCAAAAACCCCACTGCTTTAAGGCTGGGTCCCACTTCAGAGACTGGGCAAGCATTTTTATGTAGCACGAGAAACGAGCCAAGGTGCATCCATGGCCATGAAACATGATTCTGATCTTTCAAGAAATACCTCAAGGTTTTAAAAAAACCACAACAAAACACCACACACACACACAATATCCACCCAGACATTGCATGAATAAAATACAGATTTTAAACAAAGCTGTTGTAGAGCAGTTGCTCTGATCCGAGTGGAAGAGCGGAACAGGGGTGGGCTAAAAGCAGCTGACTAAATTTAGAGATGGATTATGGACAATTTGGGGTCACGGGTATAATTTGGCACGGGAGAGTCACAGAATCAGAGAAATACAGAATGTTTTTCATTGAAAAGGAACGAAACACCAATCTCTACCTGCCTTGCTATCACACCCCTTTTATCTGCGGTGCCCCGGTATTTAATACAATACCATTAACTCAATTGTATCACTGGAAGTGACAAATTTCTACTGAAATGATTTCTTTTTCGTATTGTAGGCTCAGCTTTTTTGCTACAACTCTAACTCATCCCACCCAGCAACCAGCCGGGTCCGGGGCTGATGATCAGCTCCAGAGCTTGCACTGGGATGCCCCCGAATACCGCTGACGAGAATATAAAATAGAAATGTCTTAGAGAAGCATTGCTCGAAAAAAATAACCACGAAGAATATAACTGGCTCACAGAAACGTCTTTGTTTTTACAAAGGGAAGACCAATCCATAGACAGACTAAAATCGTGCCAAGAGATATTTTTGACCTTTTCTCAGCGCAGCTGCTGAAGAACTCCCAGCAGTTTATTAGAATTCGCAGAAGGTCAGGAAAGTCAGATCTAGGCATATTTTCCCAAACTGCACATATTTTTAGCAGCAAAGACGAGCGAGCAGAGAAATATTTCTATTCATACGATTTCCCAAGCAAATCTTAAGGTGGCCCAGAGAAACTCAACTCCTCTTCTTGGCGAGGTTAAAGCTGATGAAAAATCTCAGCTCTTAAAAGTTTGCACAATTGATAAACTTATTTCCTTTACAAAGAACTTTTTACTGAAATTGAAAAGGAAACATTTACTGAGAACTTCAGTGTAGGATGATCTGAAATATTAAAACATATCCTTCCATTTCCAAAGGCAGAGCAATACCAGCGTGTGCCACAATTGTGGGTGTCAAGAGGATGGGGCCAGTCTTTTTCCAGTGGTGCCCAGGGACAGGACAAGAGGAAATGGGCACAAACTTGAACATAAGAAGTTCCATCTAAACATGAGGAGGAACTTCTTTCCTTTGAGGGTGGCAGAGCCCTGGAACAGGCTGCCCAGGGAGGCGGTGGAGTCTTCTTCTCTGGAGACATTCCAAACCCACCTGGACACATGCAACCTGCTCTGGGTGGACCTGCTCTGGCAGGGGGTTGGACTAGATGATCTCCAGAGGTCCCTTCCAACCCCATATCATTCTGTGATTCTGTAATGGTGGTGCAGGAACCAACAGTGAGTGCTGACCCTCAACAAGCAGCTCCTTTATTCCTCTCTGTGGTCTGTGGCCATCAGAAATGCAAAGCTGGATGCAGACGAGCAGCTTTCCCTTACTGCCCTAATTTAAAAGCACTTTCACATGGGAATTATTGCTAATGGTCACTGTACAAGGGCAAAAGGCTAACAAAGCACTTCGCAACCTCCATGGTGTATTTCAGGTGGGTGCTACAATATTTTTTGGCAGGACGCACTGAAAGGAGAGGATTTAAACTACCCTCACTCCTGCCAGTTTTGTTTCTTTTATTTACAAGCAACACCAAATCTACATCAAATGGAGTCACAAAACGGCTCAAGTCTAGTTCTCATTAGTTAATTATCTTACTCTTGTCACCAGACTTTAAAGGCGTGAATTAAGTCCATTTTTATCTTTTTTCTTTGCATTCTTTTTAGAGCATTATTTAATAGGTGACCTGCGATGCTGGGATGGTAGGGGGGTCATCTGCTCTCTTAAAACCTGTGCTTCTAAACCAGTGAACACCAGAGCTGGGCTCACACTCTTACCACACCTGGGACACAACTCTTCTTTATTTTGCTATTTTTAGTAGAGAGAAAACATTAGCAATAGATACTTTATATAAAAATCACCCAATGATGCAGTGAAAAATGTCATGCAACTACATTGATTTAGAAGCTCAAAATTAAAACCCAACAATCAGGGCACCACAACTGGTGGAGCTGATTTATAAGGAACCTGATTTATTAAGCCTGGGAGCTGCTTTATTAGGAAGCCTGTGATCACCCTGGTGCTACCTGAGCAACACACACCTGCAGCATACACAACATAGCAAAGAATAAATTAAATTTAATAATACATGCATGTAGGAGACAGTATAGTAAGTGGCTAGGAGTGATTCTGAAGAGAAAGGCTGTAAAAGTGATATTGTATGATTTGGGTACATTAAATACTGTGCAAAGAGCCTCTTATTTACCAGGTAGAGCAAGATCAAAAATCTCTTCTACACAACATCAGGAAGGCAACACAGGCTTCCCAATTTAAATACCAGAGACTCCAATTCCAGACCCACCAGTGAGAGAATCACAGCAGTAGCAGGGTACCACCTCCCTTCCCTGACTTATTCCGAATTTCACCACTCCTCAAAACTGAAAAAGGGACCTAGGATGCCAGGAGGAATTACATTTGAAAATCCACAATCCACTCATTTGTTTCTGTGCTTGCCTTGAAGGCTAACTCACCCCTATCTGCTTTGGATAGACCAAAACCTCTAAAATATCAAGCCTTAATGCCACCCTCATAACACTGTATAAATTCTACAGAAATCAGCATCTTCACATTGCACAAGCAGCTGCAAAGAAAGTTTGTACAAAGCAGCTGTTACTACAAAATGGGGAAAAAATAACAAAACAGAGAACACACGAAATGCTTATGCTCCCATCAGTGCTATTTCGGAGGCAGAAAAGAAGGTTTTTTCCCAAAGCCATGGACTTTTTCCCATTAAAAGAAAGAGGAAGGCTGCAGCGCTGCCTCACTGGCTTCAAGCAGACAACTGCTCTGCTCCCAGCTTGAAAGGACAACCCTGGAGAGGATCCAGAACGAGCAGCAGCAACACCACCCAGAAAAGGCCACCAGGGAAACGGCTTGGTTTTGCAAGTTCATGGGAATTTGAGTTTGGAAACACAATCTTTCCTCTCTGCCTGAGATTTCCTCATCACAGGAGAATTGGCAACCTTTCCGATGAGACTCTGTCTGTGAGCAAAGAATCAAGCCCTAAGGATGACTGTGCTGCCCAACTGCCAGGAGGTAAAGGTCACCAGGTTGGGAGTGGCAGAAAACTCTCTGCTTTGGTGACAAGAGACTAAAAACCTGCATTTTAGGGTTGCTGCAGCCCCAGGGGAACAGCTTGTTCTCTAAACAACACCCCAAATCTCCCAGCATGACTAGAGGAGCAAAAACCACCCTCCTTGGTGCATTTTTCATCTAGAACCAGAACGGTTTATGTTGGAAGGACCTCCTTGAGACCCATCTCCTGGTGAAGCCGGGATCCAGGCATGGCAAGGTCAGGTTGCTCGGAGCCTTTTCCAGAGAAGGACTGAAAGTCTCCTCACGTGGAAATTCCAGAGTCTTTCTGGGTGACCTGTTCCAGAGCTTACCCACGCACACCAGGAAACATTTTGATTTGTAATTAAGGAGAATGTGCCTTGTTGCATGTGATGGCCCTCAGCCTCTGGGGATGCATTTCTCTGGAGAGCCAGGCTCTTGGGCACTGGTCTCTCCTGTTTCACTGGTGATACCATTCCTCATCTCTCACTATTTTTCCCCTCTCCCCCTTCAGACTTAGGCTGTTTAAAGTGTTGCTGCTGTCACACTCTCTCCAAGCACAGCCTACATTTATTTCACCCCCAACTTCTACTCTGGATTGACTCATCCTCTTCCCCTGCTGCTGAGATGTTATCCCTGCCTGGGTTTAACACCACAGCTCTTCCAAGTCTCATCCAATCTTCCCAGTCATGGTTTTTGTAGGGTTTCATTCTCCTCCGTGCCAGCTGTAAGTTACCAGTACAACATGACTACAAATTAAAAAGAATCCTCTTCTTCCAGAGCCAAAAAAAAGAAAAAAACAAGCAAATTGCCAATTCCCACCTATTGCCCAAACCACACAACCGTGTCATGTCTTTTCCTTGCAATCCCTACCAAGATTCCTGCCTTTGCAGTCAACTCCACACAGTCAATAGGGTAAGTTCTTGGTGCTACACCTTCCTCTGGCTGTGTAAATTATTGGTCTACACGGGAGCTCCCAGAGTAACAGATGGCAGAATCATATGATATTTTTAAGAAATAGGAAAAAACTTAAAGGCAGGTAAGTTATCCATACAGCAACTCTCAAACAGCAGCACAATTATAATTGTTCTTTTTTTAAAACCACTTATGAATTATCTCGTACCATGAAAAAGCGACAATGGTATTATGAAAATAAAAGATATCAAAAAGCACAACTTTGAAACAAGACGTAAGATAAAACTGAAGAATTTGGCAATGAAGTACAACAAATGCAAGGGTGGATTTACAGCCTCCCATACCTAGATATTGTCTGAAGTTTATACTGAATTAGGGAAAACAAATCCTGAGCCCTCGTAAAATCCCAAAGGTGGTCACAAATATCTTAAGTGTCTACACAATTTCTCTGTTGTGTTTTAAAATTAAATATCACTCCCATTTTGTGGCTGGTGATACGGAGGTGGGAATAAATTATTGCAGAATAATCAGGGTGTGAATCTAGGCTGGTCTCAACAGTGAGTGCCCACATTTATTCCAAGATAAACAGAAGGTAGACGACATCCTGGTTTACAAAGGGCAAAGGAATTCCTAGTGGATGACGCTGTATTTCGTGCAGGATCTGCAATTGCTCAGACACAGCTGCACAGAGCAGTCCCTGTGCTACCTGTGTTATGGAAATAACGTTCAACAGGGCTCACCTGATGGTTCATTTATTGAAGAAAGGGTACATTTCTACCCCCAAATTGTATGTCGGAGAAGGTAATCACTCCCAAATTCTTTTCCCTCCCCTCCCAAGGACTGCAGCATACATCGCTAAAATGATAAACAAATTGCTAGTAAAATCTGACGTTTTTCTTGGGAAAGGTGATTCATATTCCCAGTTATTTGAATTTATTGCCCAGTCTAATTTCCTCTGACAGATTTCCAAGCGTACCAACAACCTGGCCTTCTGAAGATAAAACTTAATACGCTACGTCTCGCATTTCCCATGGAAAGATAAATACTGTAACAGAAGATAGAGCGAAAATAAGTATTTCTGAACAAGGAAAGGACCTTTCAGAAGCATAACCCTACCTGAGTTGTGCTTTAAGTTCAGTAAACCTGGGTCGTCTGCTAGGGTCGTACGCCCAGCACTTGGTCATAAGGCTGTAGAGGGTAGGAGGGCAGTTTGGAGGCATTGGGAGCCGCTCACCGTTCTCAATTCGCCCAATCACATCATTGTTCTTCACTCCCTGGAAGGGCTTTACCCCGTGCATGAGGATCTCCCACATACACACACCTGAGGAACACACACAAAAAAAAAACGTTTTCCCAACTGCGAGTGAAGGAGACACCTATTAAAAAAGAAGCAAACCCTAATTTTGCCCAGCCAAACAAGGTGGTTTCTTCTGAAACGTAGAGCTAGGGAATGGGTTTGGACTTACCGGCCGGCAGCGGAGAGGAGGGATGTGGGGCAGGACCAACCCCAACTATTTATGAGGAAGCGTGACCCACAGCTGGCTCATGGCAGCCCCCCCTCACCTCTCACTACCTTTAACCCATCGTAAATCAGGAGGGGTTGCTCATATTCAAATCTACCTTTTTTTTTAACCAGGTAGAGCATGAGCTGTGTTTGCTTTTCCCTCTGACGAGTTCCAACCGGCCCAGCGTATTTTCACTTTGAGGGTGTTTTTTAACGCTGGCATCGATCCAATTTTTTTTTTTTTTTACTGAAACCATGTAATAGAACAGTTTCTGTTGAAACTGTCTTAAAAGCCCAAAGGGAAAAATGGTCTGTCAGTTCAGGACTGGCCAAAATGTTCCACAGACTTCATTTTTTTAACTCTGGCTGTACTGAAGTTTTCTTCCAACTATTACAAACCTGCTAAAAATTCACATACCCTTCACTTAAAAACATTCAAATTTGATTTTGTAAAAAAGGGTGAACCCTTACTTTTCTGTCCTGCTCTTATTTCAGACCTCATCACCTTTGTTCCTTCACAAAGCCTGTCTTTGCTCTGTCTGTCCAGACCAGCAGCCTGGACCAGACTGAGCACAGGTGATCAGATTCATATAAAAAATTGCAGAATTAGGAAAAAAGATCAAGGCTTCAGGATATGCCCATTTACCTGTATTTTTACTCAGCTTCCAGTCATATTTTGTAAGCAGGAGCTATGACAGAGAAATTAAGTGGGAACCTAACATTAAATATGTGGAAGCAGGACATGATGTAGGCTGATCCATGCACTACGCAAGGAAGCATCACCATAAAAGAAGTAAAAATATAAAACAGAAACAGCAAATAATCATGGTGTAACAAAAAGAAATCAGAGGTAAAATCAACAATAAAAAAATCATTTCCTTTATGACTATGACCTAATTTCCTTCTACTTTCATTTCTTTCAGCTTCTTACTGATGGCAAAAAAGGCACTCGAAACTTTAGGTTTACTGGAGTCGAAAAAGGAAAGAAAAATAGAGAGATGGAAAAAGTTCTGAAAGAAACTAGATTTTCGGTAAGTATGGTAAAACCAGTGCCAAATATCTGGAAATTATTCATTTACGGCAATTAAAATGAAACATTCAACTTCTCCAACAAGACACTTAAGAAAGCCCACCTCTCAGTACTCACCAAACATCCACACATCGCTCGCTGAGGTAAACCGTCGGAAGTTGATTGACTCTGGAGCCATCCATTTGATAGGCAACTTTCCTTTGGAAGCTACAGGGAAGGCAAGACAAAGCAGGATTTTATTCCTACCACTGAGCTCAAACATAGATTTCGTTCCTCTGTCTAGAGAGAAGAGCAGCACTTTGCCCAAACATTCAGACTGACCCAACTCCTTCAAGTTTTAAGTTAATTCTTATTTCAAGAAGCAACTATTGCGGTTGAGAAGGTATCAAATCTGAAATAAATAGTCACAAAATCTCAGCAAGGGAGTAGGTGTTTTTAAATGACTCATAAAAAAAGGGGAGGTTGTTTGGTCTTACATAAAACAGGAAAAGGAACCAACAAACCCCCAAATAACCCCCCAAACTTCCCAATAAAGCTCCCAACAACAAAGAACAAGAAATGATAATTTCAAAAGTATTCTTCCTCTCAGCAATTAAAACGTCAATACGCAGCTCAGAGTGATATGCAACAAATGAAACGAAGCATAATGAAGTGTAAGGGGACAGATAAAGGATATTTTAAAACATATGACTGAAACAAGAAGTATATTGAAGATCACACTTATAAATACATTGTTCCATAATATAAGATATAAAATTCTACCGTTTGATACAATACACCCAATCTCTATTCTCCTGCTGCGTTTCCCATCTATCAGGCACTGCAGGACATCTCACAGCTGCTGGAGCCACTTAAGATCAGCATTCCATCCAAAATGGGAGAAAAACTAGACTTTTTTGTACTGAACCTCCCTCATGCAGGGGCACCTGAAGTATGCAGCCCACAACGACAGCACAAACTCTAAATTTACCCATAGGTAACTCTGAACTCATTGTAGGCTACCTTTATCATGCCATGAATATGAATATTATCTTAAACAAGCATCAAATGTGGATAATCTTCTAAAAATCGTGAAGAAAAGCATCAAAAGCTTGTCCTAAAAAGTGGAATTTTACCTAGACATTAACTTCCTACTTTTGGCAACTTTAATCAGACCTTGTGATTCTTCTTCTTAAGCATTCCTGTAGGAATTTGCTGCTATATATTAAACTGTTAAATATCTTCCTTTTTTATACCCATTTAACAGCTAGACCAAGAAAATCTGGTTAATTCCCCTTGGAATTCCCCAAAGAACTCACTATTGTGGGAAGCAACTGTGTTCTGACTGGACTGCAAGGAGGATCCAGAGGTTTGACTTACCTTTATAGTAAGTACTGTCTTCCATGTATCGGGATAAACCAAAGTCACCCAATTTCACACAGTCAGTGGCAGACACCAGCACGTTTCTAGCAGCAATATCCCTGCCAAGCAGAGGAGACATTATTTCTAGTAATTAAAAAAATGAAATGTCATTTGGAAAAAATCAAGTATCAAGACCATAGGTATCCCATAAGTATCAAGACCCAGAAGTATCAAGACCTTTCAGAGGACTGAATTATTTGTCTAGTTACAGTTTGGGTGGGCATGGACAGGAAAAGATGACTATGTATTTGTATACTGATAGTGAGAAGTTTGCAGAAATGCCATAGTACATTTGATCCTTATGAGTAATAGCCATCATCTGAAAATATAACCGTCAATGTCAACAGCAGAGGAAAAAGGTCTATTCTTCATCTATTTAAATATCACAGGCTAAAAACGTTTAGCAATTAGAATGGATGGAAAGTAGAAAACTGGCCTCCTGACCCTGCAAAGGTAAGGAACTGGTTCAAGATCTCAGATTGCAGGAGGCTTCCTAATAAGGAGCTGGGTTTTTAGCGACGCCAAAGGGATGATGACAAGACATGGACATTTTTCCCTTGCAGTTTCCCAGGCAAAAAAACCCCACTGCCTGTTGATTCTGGATTTCAGCAGGTTGACTGAATATCAACAGATTTAGCTTTGAGCAGTGAATTAAGCTCAGCAAACCCAGCGGTGCTACCATCTCCCATTTCTGTACAGTAGGAATAAGTTGTATTTTGAAATTTTATTGCTAGAGTTAAAATAAACAGCTACTTGGCCAAAATTCAAGTGTTGTAACAATTGTAAGGGTCTGTTATTATGATGGTTTTTTATATACATATATAAATACACAGCTGGTACTTAGATATACATGTGTTTCCATGTAAAATATATACTACACATACAGAAATTGAATGTACATATTTAAACATAAAAAAACTGCTCAAAAGTGAAATGGTACATGATAATGGGAGTGCTGTGAACTCTTAACTGCATACAATAAAAGGTTAAATCCAGTCTCTTCTCCCTAGAAAGCTCACGTTCAAATCCAAAACACACCTAGAAGGAAATTTAGGTTCACTTTCTGGTTAAGCACGTACTTGTATTTTATAAATATTTTGTTTTCTCTGTTCTTAACTTAAGAGACGGTTGCGCTTTGTTTTGCTTTCCTGTATTTGGGAGATCACAGCTGACTCACAGCTTTAAAAAAATATTGTAACCACAAAGCAACAGCTGAGCTGAGATCTATTCTGATTAAAATCTGGCACCATCTCTGAGCCCATCCCAGAAGGGGCCAGCAGGTGTCACTCTTGAAAAGGGTGTGATTTTGGGGACTTTGTCTGAAAATAAGATGACATGCTAATATGGAGACTGACATAAAAGAGGTTAGGTGGATTTCAGGAGTTCTGAAGTATTGCTGCTACACATTCATCCTATGTCAAGTAAAAGAAACACAAAGGGAAGCCTTCAAAGAATCCAACTACGTGTTGTGTTTTGTCTTCACTTGAGCCAGAACACTGCCAGTCAAAAAAGACACCTCATATTCCCTATAATTTCAAGTATTTATGTATAAAAATATACCCGTACACATACGTATCCATAAAATCTTACCTATGTACAAATCTTTTGCTCTCTAAGTAGGCGAGCGCTGTGCTGAGCTGGTAAGCGTAGAGTATCAGGGAGGCCAGGTCCAAGCTGTATTTTCTTACTTGCAAAAACGATCTCAACTGTTTGCACAAAGAAAGAAAAAAAAGAAAAGAAGACAAAAATAATAAATTAATTTGAACAAGGCATGTCTCAATCTGTATCAATCAGGACAGGGAACTGGTGGAGAGGGGACAGCAGAGGGCTACAAAGATGATGAGGGACCTGGAGCATCTCTCTTATGAGGAAAGACTGAGGGACTTGGGTCTTTTTAGTCTGGAGAAGAGAAGACTGAGGGGGATCTGATCAACACCTATAAATACTTAAAGGGTGAGTGTCAGGAGGATGGTGGGTCTCAGTCTTTCTTCAGTGGTGCCCAGTGACAGGACAAGAGGAAATGGGCACAAACTTGTACATAGGAAGTTCCACCTAAACATGAGGAGGAACGTCTTGACTTTGAGGGTGGCAGAGCCCTGGAAGAGGCTGCCCAGGCAGGTGGTGGAGTCTCCATCTCTGGAGACATTCCAAACCCAGCTGGACACGTTCCTGTGCAACCAGCTCTGGGTGGACCTGCTCTGGCAGGGGGTTGGACTAGATGATCTCCAGAGGTCCCTTCCAACCCCTTATCATTGAGTCTGTGACCAATGGGCATGCCTTTCCTTTAGACTGGATGAGACAAGGAGATCACTTGCCATGAAGAAATTTGACTCTGGGTTAAATGAAAGCAGTTTTTTCTATATGAAAACCATTAGCCAAACAAATAAAAATGTTTTGTGCATTTCTGTCAGGCTCCTTGTGAAGACTGAGAGCGTGTGCTGCTGCTGTTCCAGAGGAAAGCACTCGGACCCTTCTGCATCCTTCCCTTGAGGGCTATGTACATTTTTGGCCTAAAGAATTTCAGAACGAAACAGCACACGGCCAATCCGAACAGCAATTAGAGAAACATTGGTTTGGAAGCGTTGATTTTAATCTACATTGGCTAAAACAACTGGATTTAGCTCAGAGTGGCCAATATGAATGCAAATTTCTATAAGCTGTATTCCTAGTATAAGGCAGTTAAGACCTGATGGAAGGTGGCACTCGAGTCTCCTTATGAGTTAAAACAAGACTTTGAAAAGAGATTTGAGCATTGGAAAGGAAATCTGTCATTTTTTTGACAGAAAATGACTTCTCCACTATAGGTTTTTCCACCCTTTTTCTTCGCTTGGACAACGTACTGCAGTTCAATAAATGCGACTACCTTCCAGTGCAATGAAATATTACTTCAGCTCACATTTTCAAAACCACATGGCTCAAAGAAAACAAGTCAATTCTAAAAACTGAGAGCTGGTTTTGTTTAAAGCACTGATCCAAAAGACATCATAATAGGAAAGTCATCTTATCTAGGATCTCTGCTGCAGAGCCTGTACAGAAAAAAACCCTAAAAAATAACAGTGTTCCAAGGGAAAATGCAGAATTACTCAGGAAGAATACGAGATGCACCACAGAACTTCACTTCTAGAAGGTATGTTTGCAAATGCCGTTTAAATGATATTGTATTATCATCATCTTGACCCAGGTCACGCTCTCACTCTGGAACAGCAACTGAAGTTCTCTGAAAACAGTGACTGAACCACTTTGGTATGAGCTGATGCAGCTCCCTCAGCGGAGGAGTTAGGTCAAGTTCTGCCCCTCCTGTTTCTGAGTCCACAATCCCACAAACAAGTATGATATCATGTTTGAGGAGAGCGCCTTTGCTCAGAAATGGTGTTTTCAGTCTTTTGTGAGTTTATCTGTGAGTTTAAGGAGAGAAAACCAAAGTTCCATGAGGATTTTTCATACCTCTCCAAGCGTGCAGAGCTCCATGATTATCCAAACTGGGTTTTCTGTGATAACTCCGATGAGCTTCACAATGTGAGGATGGTCAAACTGACGCATTGTTACTAGAAGGAAAAGAAACAAGTTGGTGTGTTACACAAAACCTTGTATTTTTTTTAATAAAAACAAAGAAGTCGGTTAAGAAGCATTTAGTCTATGACCAGAAAATGGCATCAGTTCTGCAAGACTTGAAACAACAGTTTGGAAGGAATAAAGGCTGGTCATTTGATGTTCTGTGGGCAGTATGAAACACTGCTACTTCAGCAAACTGCTCTGCAAGGGGCAAGTCAAGTCAGGGTCTCTGATTCTTCTGCCCTGGTTGAATACAACAGAAATTAACATAATGACCTATCAATCCAGTGCATGACCAATTAACCTGTGCCTTTCTATTGGAAGGAGGAGGAAGGAGAAAACATTCTATTTAAATCAAGGTCTGGGAAAAACGTCTGTTAGTTTATCACATCGACAAAAACCTCATTTAATCATTATGTTCACATCTCATTTTATTTTTCATGGACTTAATTAACTTCTCAGTCTCAGCAGCACTGTCACAGTACACTATATGCAGTAAGACCTACAAGTTACAGAATCACAGAATGGTTTGGGTTGGAAGGGACCTTCAAGATCATCCAGTTTCAACCCCCCTGCCCTGGGCAGGGACACCTCCCACCAGACCAGGTTGCTCAAATCCAGCCTGGCCTTGAACCCCTCCAGGGATGGGGCAGCCACAGCTTCTCTGGGCAACTTGTTCCAGTGTCTCACCACCCTCACAGCAAAGCATTTCTTCCTGATATCTCATCTAAATCTACCCTCTAACAACTTAAAAATGTGGTATTTTCCTGCAAGAAATTTATATGGGCAAACTTAAGGCAACATATTCTTTAAAAAATGATGTGTTATGAGTAATACAGAAAAAAAAAAAAATCAGTAAAACATCCATCCCTATCAATGACACAGTTGAACATATTAATAAAAAGGAATAAACAATCTGGTGAAATGTCAAATGGGCAATAACAACTGCTGAAATACTACACAGAATTGAAGTTAGATTCCTCAACCATTCAATTCCCCTCTTCCTTTTTGAAGGGGAATGGAATTTGAGAGAGGGAAGCTATTTCTGGCACCTTGAAAAAGTATGCATTGCTAAACTAGTTTATCTGAACCCAGTGCTAGTACTAAAATCTCAGTACTAAAATCTCAGTAAATAAAGCGTATATTCCAAACAAACCCCAATTATTTAGCTTTAGGGTTCTCTTGTGCTAACTGAACTCAAAGCAATTTACAATGTTTTATAACATGGAAATGTTGCTTCACTGATGTAAAAATGAAGAAGGAATACAGTTTTAATTATCAAAGCAAAACCCCACCACGAGCAAACATCTAAACCCCTAAAATATTTTAATGTTCCTCATATTAAAATATTAAGAAATAAATTTCCGAATTCAGTGACTCTGCCAGATGTTGGATTTGGGCCTTTTGAAGAATGAAAAAAATGGAGTCAGTATCTCCTGAGCAAGTTTACAATCTTAACGCAAACAAGAGAAAGGTAACAGATGGGGAATAAAAATAAAAATATAAAAAAAAAGAAACAAGAAATGGTGAATCTATTGAATCAAAACTGAAAAGCACTATTTATCTGTCTACGACGTTGCCATTTCCTAATCTGTCAAGCTCAAAGCACAATAAAGAGCATTCAATGAGCAATTATTTTCTACATTGTTAAGAGACAGCAGCCCACCTTTGACTGCTAAGTTATTACTACACGCAACGGTATTTACTTTTCCAACAGCTAGAAATGTAATGGAAAAAATTATAGTAATTTAAGAAAAATCTGACATCCAAAAATAAGAAGCCATTAACTACAAACACAGATTTTTCTGAACAATTAGGAAAAAAAAAACCTTGAACAAAGGAATAGTGAATAAAAGTATACTGTAACATCTGGCCACAAGCAGATAATTTATTGATATAATACAATACCTTTACGAGACTTACAGATGTACAATAGTAGAGGATAATAGGCAAAAATTAAGGCCTGAGCCTCATCTCTTAATTTGTTTACAAATCCAAACAGCAGAGAAAGCAGTAAATACAATATTCTTACAGAAGTTTACTGTTAGAATTCATCTCAACAAAAAGCCTTCCTCCATGTGTGAAAAGTACCATTCAGGGAACACAACATTTCTCGGCAATTATTTAGAAAATTGGTTTATTCTATCATAATTTTTAATTGTGAATTTTCAAAACAGATCTCTCTTAGACGTAACATTTTTAGCAACTTTCTTAACAAAGATACCCTCCTGACCTTCTAAAGTAATAAACTCAAAGAAGTGCTACACCTTTTTTTTAACTCATTAAGGAGAAAGAAGGAAATAGAGGATCAGGTCTCTAATATTCCCAAACTGGTTCTGAAGCCTTACAGGAGTCAGGTATCACTGTTCAGTTTCAAAAAAATAAAAAACTCACATATAATCATATACAGGGGCAATGGAAGGAGGTAAAACAGTCTTCTGGCACATATTGCAAGAGAGAAAAAGGTCATGCTATATATTAATATAAAAGATTTACATCAGTAGCAGAATTTCCTGGCACAGATGGCTGCAGTCTTTGCAAGGACCAGCTACAGAAGCTACCCCAAAATTAGTATTTTGATACTCACAGGCTTCTTGTAAGAATTTTTCTCTAACGCTGTCTGAGGTGCAGTTTTTACATGTTTTGATTGCAACAGCCATAGCCGGGTTTTCCTGAAAGACATTAGTGAGAAATAAGTGAAATACAGCCCACCAAATACAGGCCACCAAAAGAGAAGTCCATTTAAATGCTCGCAAAACTACTGTAGAGAAAATTACTATTAACTGTAATATCTTTAGTTAAGAGATTACATTTTGAAAGCTTCAATGTTAAAATATTATCACAATTAAGAGACCTAGTGTACAACATTTACACGTTGTAATATTTCAGGAATATGATATGATGTGGTATTTCAGGAATACCTGATATAACAGCATTTGAGAAGAGGTGGATGCTGCACAGTCACTAGAATAAGAATGTTACAAGTGCAACGAACAGGGACAAATGAGATTTTTGGGATTCAAATTTGAGCCAGCGGAACAAGAGGCCAGAAATCTGCCCTAGGTTTTTCCACGTGAGCTGAATATATGCAAAGATTGAAAAGCTATCATGGTATTGCAACTAATCTTTTATCTATTGTAAGATTTCTTCCAAAAGTCTAAGTTGGAAGTTGTACTAGTCACTACTCTGAAAATGTAGATCTGTAAATGAAAAATCAGAATCTCCCTTAATGCAATGTACATCAGATCTGCTTTTCTAAATGAAGGTATCAGAATGGAGTTCAAACTTGACTGAAATAGATAACATTCATCCTTATTTATTTACTTAAATATTGCATTAAAGTTTGATTTATTTAATCCACCGAGTCCAGCACCCTAACCAGCTGATTCTACAAAATACCGTTTCTAAAGTTAGAGCTAGATTGTTGGCCACATGAATTATTACTTCATCTATCTAAAATCCACACACTTAATTTCTCCAAACGAGAAACAAATCTTCATTTTACACTTGGAGAATGAGTTTATTATAACCTTGAAACTGGTTGAAATGAAACAATTTTCCAGCTTTCTCTTGCTTTTCCCCACAAACTTAATTTTTAATCCACTTCAATTGCAATCTTAATTCTTGCAGCTGCAGTTTAGATAAACCACATAAGGACCAGTCTAAATGACACCAGTCCTGCCAACCTCACCAGCGTCACTCAAGTGACTTCTCTGCATTGGGCTTTTGCTGGATCGGTGCCCAAATATTTCGTATTTTTGCTTTCTGGAAAAAGTAGTAACTTTATTAACATGCAAGGTTCTCCGTGAGAGATGTAAGGAGATGCTTGATGGAGAAGTAGACACGTCTGTTGAACATTACTGTCCCTCTGCTGTAGGCTGTATTACCTTGTTCTCACATGGGGAGCATGGCCAAAGGGCTGCATCCTCACCACGCTTGGACACACTCAAAATAAAGAAGGAAGTGTATTTTTGGGGTGGAAACCAATGACTTCTATCTAATTCTGACTCAGTCAGTGGCTCTGGTACGGTCCTGAATAATTTATTTGGCTCTTTTGATTCCTTTCCCGGGCTGTAAGAAATGGGGATACAGGAGCAATGAAACGGGAGCTGGTTTTCTACTTATCTAAAACACGGGATATATTCTCTACATGCTGATTATGCAGAAAAATAAATCACAAAGTCAATTTTTATTTGTTCTGGAAGAGTCAGAACAAGATATCTAAAGAATACGTTTATTTTTTATTTTCTTTTTTAACTGGAAAGGTTTTACTGTAAGTGAGGCTTACCGGACTCATGTAAACTCCTTGGTGCACATCTCCAAACTGTCCTTCACCGATGCAGCGCCCCAGCTCAATTCTCTCCCTTTGAATCTCATAATCTCTGGCTATAAGAATATAACGCACTTAAAACATCAACTTTCTGACGAAGGGCAAAGAAATAATCCACAAGATACAAAACTCAAAGTAAGTCACTCAAATGTCTCACAGATGAATAGCTAAGATTAACATTTGCTGCACACCAACCTATACAAATGCCAGGTACACACAGTGGAAACCTCTTAAACAAACACCTGAGTCAAAGCAATGAAAAAGGAATTGCAGAATCTAATTTGCTAAATTGACTACGATGCATTATTTATTTCAATCCAATAGACATAATTGAATCCTTCTTAATTATAGCTAGTAAAAGACAATACAAATAGCCTAGGGCAATACCGATTATATTAAATACAATCTTAGCACACGTGCCTTTAGATGTTTAAGAGAGCTCCACTATGCGGTATTTTAGATATTGGAACCATCAAATGAGCCCAGAGAATTTTTAAAGAGGTAACTGCAAGAAAAAAAATAGAGGAACAAGAGCGTGGCAAATAAAGATAAAATGAAAGAGCAAAATTTTGAGAGCACTACACCTCTACCAGTGTAACTGAAGTAAAACTGAGATGTTTTGTGGACTTGTGCAATTTTGTTAACTTTGTGTGTTTAACAGACTGAGAATATCACTGATAAAAATGGCTCAGTATTTCAGCAAAACATTTAATCAATTGCAATTGAACCACTTCATTTGCAATTTAATTTCTAGCAGACATGGAAAAATATTTCAGGAACAGCAGAAAAGCATATACAGTATATGTTTTCATCTCTACTTGTGTTATTCAGAGAAAAAAAATATTATCAACCAGCTTAGGACATCATGACTGATATTTTGACTTCATTAATACTACAGAAATAATGTCACCTAGAGCTGGATAACCAAGTGATAAATGCCTTTTTAATTTCTTTTTTTTTTAAGTTGTGCATTTTCCTCTTTAAAATCCCAAAGCTAACTGGTTTAACTATAAATAAATAATGTTTATTAAATGAAAGTGAATAGTAAACTTAAAAATTCCACATCATTCCAAACTGCAAGCATACAGGGATGGGTAAAAGGGTCTCCTGTTACCTTCATCTATTCCATAGCTTTCTGCAGTGCAATTAAGAGAAAAATCAAATGCTTACTTAGATAAAGCTTCCAAAAATCAAGACAAGGACAAACATTTTTTAACATAATTTTTTTTTTTTTTAAATGAAGAAATATACTGATGCAATTTTAAGTTTACATTAGCAGAAGTCACAGGTCTATTCTTATGATTTTACTGACTCAGTCCTTTGGGAGCTGAACACTTGAGTCCACTTCAATCCGGCAAAGCGCTTAACGAATTTCGCTTCAACAACCCATCTCGTGGGCTTTGAATTGAAGGCACACTTAAGAGTTCAGCATCATCCAGGCCTGGGCCCACAAGTAATTACTGCCATGAGAATTTAAATGAAAATATTAGGAAAAAAATAAAAATCACAGAAGTTAATATGTTAAGGAAAAAAAATAATAGTTTATCACAGTACTTTTGGATCCTGCAATTATTTTAGTAGAATCATGTAGTGACTTACTGCAAGACATCGAAAACACACTGTTTATTTCTCGAAAACATATATTCTTGCTTTTCAAATATTTATGTTCAAATATATATGTTTTTCAAAACATATATTCTTGCTTTTCAAATATTTTCCACAATAGTGGAAGCTGTGCTGTGAACACTGAGGTGCATCATGAAACGTTGCTGACACACGGTAAATTCTAGGAAACCTAAAGGAGATTCATGGTTCTTCAGCAGAACATGGTGCCGTTGACCACCATCTACCCCTCTCACATTAATGACACCTAATGTCTTTGCAGGTCAACTTATTGACCGATTGTCTACTTCTAGAGAAATCCGTGGTTGCCAAAACACAACAGTAATTTCGCAGACACAACTGTTAAAATCAGAATATCAGATTCCACGTTAAATTCCTTAGCTTTGACAGATTGACATTATATTCTAGTTCAAATATGCCCCAAGACAAAAATCGTGGTGGCTAACGCATCATATTTTTTGACTTAAAAGATGAAGACTCAGAAGAACTTGGTATTTTTATTTCTGTTCCTGAAGTCTCTCATCTTTAACAAAATTGCATGTGGAACAGATGACTTTCCTTTATCAAGGAATTTGAGAGCAGCAAGTCTGTCCCAGAGCAGGGGTGAGATACAGTCAGACACCGAGACACAGAAGCTCTTTTTGCTCTTATCACAGACATCTTATCCGTTCTTTAAATGCTGTGTTCTGCATCACAATCAAAAAAATCTACATTTTGAGACATAAGAAGAATTTCACTGCAAAGTCCCTGACAGCAGCGAAACAGAATTTGGTTTTATTTGCTTCAAAAACCTGAACTTAGCACTGAAATTATCAGTTTTCAAAACAACATATTTTCTTTGCACGCATATTACTTAAGGCTGAAATAGAAGATTCAGTCCCTGCTACACCCAGAAAAAGTTTAGATAGAAAAGTTCCCAGGTCAACCACTGTACTTACTTGATGGCATTGTATAAGTATCTTCTTCATCTATAATCTCTGCATAGTCATCTGTCTCTGTAAAGGGAGGAATTGAAGAGTTTCGGGAAAAGCAGATGAAAACAATTCTCCAAGAACAATATCTTCAATTTATCAAGGCTGATATGTCGCAACCCCCAACTTCAACACTGCTGGGACGCATTTACAATAGCACGAATAAAACTTGCTCATGCATAATTTATGGTATGATAATGACCCCTGCGCCAATTATAACATGTCACATAGATGCATTCAACAAGGAGTAAAAAGGAAGATTCATTTGTGTTCAAAAAAGTTCCAAGTTCTGTAATTGAAACCCATCTAAGCTGTTGACTTAAAATCTTTTAAACAGAAAATTCCACTGCAATAAGGAGAAAACATTATTAACGGATTAAATTGCTTTACCTTCAATAAAGCATGAATTAGGGTTTGCTAGTTTTTAATGTCAAACAGGCAGAACAGACAGTAAAGATGTTCCAGGGCAGCATCTCCCTACTGTCAGTGGGGTAAGGGAAGTTATTTTCCATAGAGTCTCCTGTAGTGAAAAGCTCTTTTAAGTCACACTCTTGCCTTACGTCCCTTTTTCTTACATTAGTCTCAATTTTCCTTGTTTAGTGGGAATTCACCCCCAGTTTTGCTGTCAAGAATCAACCTCTCATGGACAGTGTTTGAAAACAACCCGTTCTCAAGAATTTTCAGCAAAGTGAGAGTCTATTTCTTCCTCTGTTTAAAACTTATGACTTTTACATCAGCTGTTCTCAAAATGGTTTAAATGGTGTCAAGTCGTATCAGAAGGTCCTTCTCTTGCCCTAAAGAACGTCCCGTGTGCGTGGGTCATCTCCTAACGGTCAGATGAATTCCTCCAGGGGTTACAAAACCAGGCCACAAGACCGAGACCATTTTTCACTTCAAGGCTGTTAAATTCAACTCGCCGACTTCGAACGCGCAGAGAGGGTCTCCAAATTGAGTTAATATCAAAGCCAGTATGTGGTTTTCAGGGTTGGCTTCAGATGATCACATACTGGGCCACCCCGGAAAGCCATGATTTACTCTCCCTTTTTCCCCCTTCTGCCCTGGAGCATGTGTACATCCCTCCAACTCCCTGCACCATTTCTAGAGGTTCTGAATGGAGAATGGGACAAAGCCACGGTGAGACCGGAACGAAGGATGGGATGATCCCTTCTGGCAGCAGCCCTCACTTCAACCAACTTAAGCCAACTCTGAAACCAGAGCAAGGCTCATAAATATTATAGACATACATCAACAAGAGGCTTCGTTTTCATACAACCTGAATATTCAACAATTGGGAAACTACAGGTTGCCTATAAACTTTGAAGTTCAACACACTTCTGTGAGTAGATACAGTTTCACGATCTTAATTTCCTACCACTTGAATAAAATTAAAGCTATTTTTCTTCCAAACTCCTATAGGAATATATTGTGTCTTGTAAAAACAGAATCAGGGAATTCTATACCCTTTAAATTTTTGCTAGCCAATTTCAATTTGGGACACAGCAAAACTGAGTCATCTAATGAAAATTCAATTAATTACAGAGACAGTGAACAATTCCAAACAGGCAGCACACTCCAGAGGCACTAATCTTTTTCTTGGTATGTTTTGTTTTTCTCCCTACACTATAAGTTAATGATTTTGTAGAAAATAAGTCCCAGTTTGGTCTAAAAAATAAGTGTCCATTTGAAAGAAATCATTAGTGAGACACCAATGTGATGGGGATAAATCATTCTGCTTCCTTGTGGTAAGATGCTTTTAACATTTAAGTGTGATATATATGAGTTCTTGATATAAGTGAATATTTGAGGATATGAGAAAGTTCTTAATCTATTAAAAAAAAAATATGGGCTGAACAAAAGATAATATAAGCATATTTAAGAAGAATTTTAAAAGTCTGGAAACTAGAACTGGTGCCACACTGGTCTTTAAAAACCCAAACCATTTGTCACACTAGATTATGTGCTTATAAAATGTGATAAATGGCTTGGCTTGTTCATCTCTCTATTTTAAATTAATCAAGTTCATTGATAATAAAAGCATTATCAGAACACCGCAGAGCACTTCCCATGGTTTTGATACACTGCCCAAAACCAGCCTGAAACTAAAACTGTCTTCAGTAGCCAATCCAAAGAAATTAAATGTATGCAATTAATGAAACAAATATTTTTTGTTACGCATTTAACACTCTGGAGAGGAATATATAATATGAATTGAGGAAATAATTCCTATACACATCTGGCTTAGTTTCTGGGAATTAGAGGAAAATTCAATCAAGGCATTAACAGTGATGTGGTCAAAGTGTTCTGCAATGAAGATAACTGACCCCTCTCACATGCGGCCTTTACCACACGATTGGAGTCATGCAGGAGGAGACTACTACCAAGTCTGGTGAGACTATGACCATGTCTGCTAAGAGATATCCCAGATCCCACTGGCTCTCCTGGCTGCTCTACAAAGGAGAACGTTCTATAGCAGCCTCAAGAGCTGAACAGTCGTAACAAAGCAGCGATTCCAGGAGATGTTCTATCTTGAAGGCCTTTCCTAAGTCTAATAAAACCAATATTTACAAATACTAGTTTACTGCTGCTCTCTCGCATCTTTTAAAACCAGCACTGAACTTTTTCACCTGTTGGCCAACCCTAAATTCTTCTCGATGGAAATACCAATGAGTCACTTCTGGACAAAAATACAGTGTTGGTGGTAAAGGTGAGTGAGCCAATTTGAGCTTCACTAAATCTGAATGCATTTATTAAACAATAGAAAAAATACCTCAGTATATTAAATCCATAATAGCTAATATATGATTTTAACCACCTCTCTGACATAGAATCATAGACTGGTTAGAGTTGGAAGGGACCTTAAAGTTCATCAAGTTCCAACCCCCCTGCCATGAGCAGGGACACCTCCCACCAGACCAGGTTGCTCAATATTTCCCTTTTCATGACTTTTTCCTCCAGGTAGAGACAGTAATTTATAGAAGATGATAAACACCAATAAAAAGTGACGTAGGGTTAGTATCTGAAACAAAATTTCTGAATTTATGAAAGAAAAAAAAAAACACCTCCCTTTGAGTTTGTGATGTTTGAGAAAAGAAAGAAAATTTGGGTAGAATTACCTTAGCATGACTTACATCTGAAGGAGAGAAAGGAGATGAGAATTTATACACCCCCTTTATATTTTACTGACAGGAAGGCCACAAGACACTATCTATTTCTTCTTATCATCTTCCTTTGCATACTGCTTTTAATTTCTTTTAGTCCCTCCTATTTATAAGAATAAAGACACATACCCTACCAGTCGTAGCAGTTTGATTTTTTTTCCATTATTAGATGGAATCCTTTAGAAAAACACCCAAAAATCTCTTGAAAAATCAAACCCCAAACCCAATTTGCTTGCAGAGGATAGCAAATTTTCTAGAAAAAAGACTTTTAAAGTCTGGAAAAGTTCAATATTTTGTCATAAATTTCAAAGTTTTGAAGAAGAAGATTATTTCTCACCTGTCACTTCCATTGATCTCAGCCACCCACCAAAAAAAAAATAATCTGTGATACCACCATTTCAATCAAGCTGAATGGACAACTCTTGCAAAGCTATAAACCTTCTTTGCATCATGCCAGAGCTCTTGTTGCAAACACATGCAGTACCACAGCCCTGGGGGTCTGAAATAGTCGGGTTTTTTTGCCTTTTTCAATTCCAGTTTAGCGGCAAGTTGTTAGCTGCACAGCCTGTAAAGTACAACAGTGATTGGCTAACGCCCAAAGCAGGCTGCTTTTTAATATTAAAATCTGCATAAAATTTATGACTGAAATGTGCATTAAGTGGTACACGGATATAAAGGTTGCATATCGCACGTTAGTAACACACAGACTAGAAAACATATTACCGTCCCCACTAATTTCATCTGCAGATCCAGGTGGCATGCAAGGAAAGAGAAAAACAGAGGGGGAGAGAGAAGGGACAGAGAAGGGGGAGGGGAAAATATACTATTAAATTCATGAGTAATCCAAAAGTATTCAGACTGCAGTTATCTTATATACCTGACTCAAGAGAAACCAGAAAAGTAGCAGAATTTAAGACTTCTCACCTAAAACCCAAGGGACAAAGATACGTTCTAAGAAGCTTGTGTGATGAAACAAGAGTTAACGACTTTCAAACACAAGATTACACAAAAATTTAATTTGGGAGTGGAATTAGTTTCTTTAAAGCATTGTTAAGAAATGTCCATTTCTGGTTTTATTCAATACTTCACTCCAAATTAGATGTCCCACAGCCAGGCGAGTCACCTCAATTTGACTTTGCATACACACGATTTTGGGTAAGTAGAGTTGGTGCTGACCCTATTCAAAAGAAATGAGCTCCTGTTCTATCACTAAGACACGAGTAAGAAATGGAACCATCTAAGTATTAATTACACAGAGCATATTGCAGTTACACAAAGTCAAAATTTAAACGAGTGGCAAATGGGGCAGCTCTACTGGGAAGACGTTCAAATGAGCACCATATTCTGCATTTCCAGCAGCAGCCCTATCGCACACCAATACCCCAGCACAAGCTGATGCACTTCAGACATTTTTTATAAATAAAAGGATAATGAGCATTAACGTTGGAAAAGTAATGCGCCAATTACTCCGATTCTTCTCACCCCTCACAAAGCCAAACTGGTCCAGACCAAACGCTGACCCAGTATGCAGCCAAAAGCATCACCGTCTTCGGAATTTAATTCAAAGTGATCGTAGCTGATGCTTATTGTTGCTAATTCCATTTCATTCATAAGCATGCTGTATCAGGGGTCCAAGAATGAAGTAAAAAATACATTAACCAAAAACCCCATGGGTATTCGGGGGGGCTGCAGAGCCATACAACTGAAATTATTAACACGGTTGTCATTGTAGAATATGATGCTTAAAACTAAGTCCCCCATAAAAATGGGGACCAGCAAGCGACACGGCACGAAAATCCAATTCAAAAGGAAGGAAAAAGGGTAGAGGAAATTTAATGACATTATTCTTGGAACTCTGTTTACCTGAGGCTAAAAAAAAAACAACAACAACCACAGTAACTGCGTTAGTATATTCAGCTTTTGGGTTAAAAAGGCAGCCTTTTTAGAAAGAGCAGTGCAGTACCCTTAGGCGGCGGCTCATGGGAACAGAAGACGAAAGGGAGAAAGCGTCTAGCTTTCTTTACTTTATGCTGACAGTGATTGACTCCTTTACACAGAGGCAAGAAAAGGAAAGAGAAAAAAAACAGAAAGAAATTATTTGGAAACAAAAGAAAAGAGACAGGAGAGAACATCTACAAGGAACGAACGTAAAAAGTAAAGGTTTACATCACAGTTCTGTATACGCAAACGGATATAGGAATGTTGTTGAAACTCTAAAGGATACTTAGTTCTTTTTTAACCTTCTATCTCAGGAAATGTGAGAAGTGGTTTAAAAAGCCAATCAAGTAAAAAGCAGCATCTTGTTGCTCACTCACTCGCTGAGTGAGGTCCAGCCACCTTGAGTTATACAGGCTGGAGGCACAGGTGGTACAAGAGAAGCCCAGTACTACAAAGCAGCATACTGGGACAGCATACTGGTCAGAGGTGGGAGGAGTGGAAAAGAAGAATTAGTTTTTAATTAAAAAAGTCACATTTTTCATGGATTCTGGAAACCTAAGAACCATCAAAGCAGCTATACTTACACAAACGAATCATTTCCACAGACCTGAGCAGTTTTAGTGGCCAGATTTTGAGGGATAACATGCAGAATTTTTTTTAAAGGTGTGTATTGTGTTCAGTCACAGTCCAATCTGGAGGCCACATACTGAATTTCACACGTGCAAATCTAATGGGTAACGCACTCCCATGTACAACCCATGCTTTGCCAAGGTGGCAATTTTAATCCAAAGTTAAAACAAGTGGGGGAGATTTATCACTGCATCCTGAACAACCAAGTACCATTATAAAAACTGCTGGGATAAACAAACAGAAATCATTGGTCAACTGTGAAAATTTACATGTCATTGAAAATGACAGAATAATAATCAGATTTAATGCTACGAACATAAAAGAGATGCAAGGAGAGGGCAAAATTATTGCCTAAGGTAGTGTATCAGTATTTCCATGTGTAACTCATCACTGCACTCCAAGGGACTTATCTTCCTAATGTCACACAGCACAACTTTCAGCATTCTCAATTTAACACAAACCTGAGGTAACATTTAGAAGAAGCTTTAGACATGCTATGAAAGAAAAGAAAAAAACACTGCAGCTATTTTAAGAGACTACTGAAATGAGAATAAAGGAATCCGATGCTCTGGACTGAAACAGAAGAGCAGGTATAGAGTCACTGGAAGGAACACAAGCTGTCGAAAAGGGAAGAGATGTTTCAACTCTTGACCCGTCTGCTCAGGCTACAAACTTAATTTAAGCTTGAAATGCTGAAATGCTGTTCACTTGCACTGATCCATGGGCAGCAGAAGCTGACTGAAACCTCACAAACCTACTTCATAGGAAGGGTACGTTGAACCAACAAAGGTGGTTTTAATTCCTGACGTCCTCGTGCCCTGTGATACACGGTCCAACTCCTCTTCTGCATTTCTTTGCCTTTATGATTTATTGTCTCAAGTCGGTTCAACTATTCTGCCTTCTGCTTTTCTTAAACTCACCATATCTTCATGTCCAGCTACAAAAGGAAATTTATTTAGGTAAAAAGATTATTCTAAGCTAAGAAAAAGAAGTTCCAAGACTTTTTCAGGAGCTTAGAGAGAGAGAGTACCTGCTTGAAATGAGTACTACTTAGAAGGATTTCGACCATTCCATATTGGCTTCCAGGGGTGTCTACCTAAATGTCCATAAAGCTCAGAAATGCTGCTGAAAATTGCCCTGGACTTCTTTTTTATTTAGTTTCCCTTCTTAAAGCTAAGTATTCATGAAAATTATTGTGTAAACAAAATCACTTGCTGTGCAACAGACTATGTTAGAGAGGAAGTGACCAGGCTAAAGGGCCATTACTACTGGAGCTCCTCGTTGGGATTATCTGAGTCATTACCCAGTACTGGAAGGCTGAAACTGAGTTATGTCCCATTCTATTTAGTCACAGAATCACAGAGTGGTTAGAGTTGGAAGGGACCTTAAAGATCATCGAGTTCCTGAACAAATTTGAGCAAAAAAGCCTGAAAAAAGTATCTATGGAACGAATAAATCTATTTGTTTTCAAGCTTTTGAAATAAAATGAGCACTATGCAGTTGTCACATCAAGTATGTTTATATAGAAACAACAAAACCCCAAACCTAATACCGCAGGGAACGTTTCTTTGGTCACACTACAGTGTTATTGCTGGCAAAGCAAAAGTGTCTGCTCAACTCAAACAAATGGATCACAACGGAGGGGAGCAGGAGGGGAAGAAACCTTTAACCCACACCCCAGGCTGAGGAAATCAGTGCGGTATCTTCCACGGCACTGAAACGGTGGAAACTGGCTTAGACTCTCACCACAGCTCACTCTAGTCTTCTTGGCCATGAAAAGAAACATTTTAGTCTGTCTAAAATATGAAAAGAGAACACACCCGCCTATTTAACCGTGATGGGAATCTGAAATACTGTAATTTATTAGCATTAAGGGTATCTTTAACTATATTATCTTAATTAATTATCAAAAAAGTTGGGTGAGTTAAGAAGCAAGCATGTTGGGAAGATGTTAGGAAGAAATTCTTTACTGTGAGAGTGGTGATGCCCAGGGAAGTTCAAGATGCCCCATCCCTGGAGGGGTTCAAGGCCAGGCTGGATGGGGCTTGGAGAAACCTGGTCTGGTGGGAGATGTCCCTGCCCAGGGCAGGGGGGCTGGAACTAGATGATCTTTAAGGTCCCTTCCAACCCAAACCATTCTATGATTCTTAAGATACAATTTTTCATCTTCAAAATTTACTTAAACTTTCCAGCGTTGTCTTTTTTGATTGACTTGATAAAACAAGCATGTAAAAAAAGCTCAAATTTACAACTTCAGGCAAAGAACACCTTTCCCCCCAACCAACTAATTCAACTGGAACTAGGAAATCCAAGTCCTACACAAGAAGCTCTTTCAGAGTTGAGCACAGGGCAGACCTTCATGTTGAGCATGGGAATCACTAAATAGAGCACACACTGTGCTCTGCAAGAAGGGATTCAACAAAATCTTATTTGTCTTTCCATCCTTGCTCCCAGCTTTGCTTGTGATCAGCCCGCATCATCCCCCATACATTCACATGCCGACATCTCCCTCATTAGGAACATTTCAAAGTGGTGTAATACTGAAATTAGGGGAAGATATTTATTATTTTTTTCTCTCCTGTTTGTTGTGTTTTGACGTGTGGCTCCTGCTACATTTCAGTTTGCTCTAGGTAACCTTTTGGAAGTCCCCCTCACAGATGTACTATACCACATTTGGTACTATACTATATTTGCTAAAAATCTCACTTAAATCATGCTTATCTCCTCCAAAATAGAACTTTATTAATTCAAACTGAAATTTCAACTGAGTGGTATGACTAAATTGACCACTACTTCAAACTCAGGGTCTGCTCATCAGTAGCACATTAGAGAAGAACTCTCATGCCACTCCACTGGATCAGGAGTTAACCACAGTATGCGACTGAAGTGTAATGATATTATACTATTAATTTGTGATTCTAAAGCAGAACCTGGAAACTTGCTGAGAAGCCCCTCCTTCAGGATGTTAAAAGCCTTCTGTTCCTATCAGAAAGTTCTCTCCAAGACACCCAACTTCTCCTTCACAGGGCACCTTACTGGATGTATCTAAACCATGGGATGCAGTTACAACACCCCACAGAGTCACTATAAGCAAACAATTTTTCCCTTTTTTCCTCTACAGAGGCAATGGCACACGAGCACTACTAGAAATTTATGCCATCGTATTACCAGGCACTCACAGCTACACCCCTTCCTTTTGATTTTAAAACCCTACTTGTGTTGGTCACATCAGCTGCGCCAGCTCTAGGGAACAAGATGACAAATAAATTTCTCTTTAAGATACCTGTTTCCCTATTAAAGGCACATGTCCTGGGGTCTGTTACTTAGATGGTTCCAACATCCTGCCTTAACATCTGAAACAGGGATGGTATTTTTAAACACCTTTCAATTTCCTACACCAAATAAGCACATACTAAAGCTAAAATCCAGCACCTTCTTTGAAGGAAGACCGACCCTGTGGCAGCCCCTAAAACCCTCTTCAGACACATGCCTTCTGCTGGCTCCTACAGAACTGGCTCATCTTCCTCCTTACCATCATCTCTCCAGCTCCAGGTCTCTCCCCACAAACACGTTCTTTTATTCAGCAGTACCTGAATATCCAAGTGTCAAGAGTGACTGCTGAGAATCATTAAATCGTTTAGGTTGGAAAAGACCGTTAAGATTGAGTCCAACCATGACCCTCACGCTGCCAAGAACCTCACCCCTGCCAAGGCTTGTTCAATGTTCTGCTTGTTCAATACGCGCTGAAACAAGCGGGCCTGAAATGTCATCTTCTGTGGCACCACATGGAAAAGTAACGTTTGAGCTACGATGAAAAAGATTTATGTCCAGAGGATTCTCTAGCGCAAAGAAGGCCGAGCGATTAGCCAAGGGAAGCAAAAAGTGTATTTATTCTTCCTAGTCATATTTATATAAGCGAGGATGGGGCAGCAGAAACCAAAGAACTCTGTGTCCGACAGAATTTATGTAAAAAGGGAGCAAGCAAACTAAGGCTTTATTCATTTCATGTTATGAAGAACTTTTTATAATATATAATTGACTCGGTAAATTATTATTTTTGGAAATTTGTGTAGCAGGAAATACGTGCATCACCTTACCGAGGCTAATGTTTGCTATTTCAAAACAAACTGCTGGCCAAAATAATTTCCTGTAGACTGGAGTAGAGCACTTCAAAAAGGTGACTCCAAGCAAAGCAACAGGAAATCTAGTCAATAAAATTATAGTAAACTGCTATGCTGCTTCTCACAAATTTGAGATATTATTTGCACAGAGCAAATAGTTTCACCTTGCTGCTTCCTGAGTGAACACTCTTGGCTAAGGACAAAGAATTCTTTTTTAATGTAAAGGCAGAAGTAGAGGGAGAAGGAGATAAAAGTTGGAACTATCTATCTGTCAGCTAAACCACTAATTGCTTCTGGTGAATCGCAATAACTTACACCAAAACTTCAGGTGTATACCAAAGAAACCTGAAATCCAACTCATATTTAATCAGGCTTTTTATTTAAATTTATTTTAAACCCACCCTCACCCGATGGAAAATTTGAGGGATAAGATTATTACTACGCTTCAAAAAAAAAAGAGGGGAAATTTGGATGGCATCTCCCTTGCACACAGAGAAAGGAACAGATAATTTAAAGAAGCGAGACAGACAAATACTACCAGAAAACCAGAAACAGAAGGAGGCAGTAAGAGGTGTGTGGAGAAACCTGGTTCAAGGACACACCACTGTAAGAGAACATTTCTTGGCTCCCAGGTCCAGCAATCTGCTGCTCTGGGTTCCTGGAACCAACTTTGCCCTTCACTAGTTTGAAAAGGCCTTTATTTAAAGTAAGAGGGAAAAAAAAAAGTATTTGAAAAGCTTCTATCTTTGTATGCTTTGGAATATTCTGCAACATTCGGAAAGAACAAGTTTGCATTTTGCCAGACCAGAAATATTTCAAGGTATGTTAATAAATATTGCAAAAAGAAAGACAAGGCATCTTTCATTAACAGGCTCATTTTTCAACCTACAAAACTTCAGACAAATACCTGAATTTTTAGACCACCAAATCACGTTCCACACTGCTTCGGTGGTTCCAATAACCACATTTTTGGTTATTGCTGGTTTCCCCAAATTGTGGTGGGGAACTCACTGTGAAACTTTCCTTTAGAACTAAGGGTATTAATACTAAAGATAAGTTTGACTGCTCAATTTTCCTGCTCAACATCTATCTTAGATTTTTGTTATTTAGCTTCAGCTTCGGGAGAGGTCTAAAGAAAGTGGAGCAATCTCCCTGAAAACAACTGGCGGAGTTAATTTATGATTTAAACTACCAAAGGCATGAAGGATGCTACAGCTGTCAGTAAGTTATAAAAGCCCGTCTTATTGGAAGCCCTTAGCTCTGAGTCATTTAAATGTCACCAGAGAAAAGCTCTTATTCTGCAAACCAAGACAGCATCCCCCACAGCTGGATGCTGTTGGCTGTCAGCTGCTGCTGACCTGGAACTCTGGGGTTAACTCAACATCACCTCCATCTGTTGCCTCCCTTGTTCCATACTGATGGATCAGTTATACACGACAACAGGAGTGACACTTCTTCACATCTCCACGAAGTATTGCTTCATTTATAACAAGCTGATTCCTTTGGGGACTCAGAGATTCTTAGAGAAAGCACCTCCTGAGGAAAAACCCTTATTATGCCACTTCAGCCCAACAATCTGTCTGCGGTTTAAATTTAATATACTGACATCCATGCCACACTTGATGTATTTCAAATAATTTTTGGGGAAAAAAACTTCAACAACAACAAAAACTATGCCAGTGTTCTATGTACCCATAGTAAAAAGAAGAACCCTTGAGAATGAATAATAAATGCAATGGCTTGAATCATTCCAGAATTATGTCAGCCCTTCCAGTGGTTTGTAACATGGTATAAGAAGCAAGAGTCAAACACAATGATTTCATTGTGGAAAGATAAAAACCCCTACTACAATATAAGGAAAATACCTAATTGGTTTTGATATTGGTGCTGGAAAGAAAGAGAAGGACATTTTCTGGTTTAATTTTGTTGTTTTGCTTGTGACACCAGGAGCCAGCTTTGAGCCTTACAAATTCCTTGATGTTCACTTGAACAACCAGCTCATCTCCAGAGCTGCTACTTGGGTTTCTGCTGTGACTACAGCAAAGCTCTGATTTCCCCATCATTCACCTTTCTGTGATGCCCTAAACACCAAAGTTCTGTGCTATCACAACTAACTTCCCTACGTTAGTATCAAAATACTACTTCAAAAGAGTAGAGAAGAAGTGAGTTTGTGCTCAGAGCTGAGCACTTCAACTACAATGGATGGAGCAAGAGATACCTAAATTAGCAAAGTCAAAGTGACAGCAATAAAGCATCATGAAGTAAGCATTTATTACTGCTTTTAATATTTAAAGTATATCAGCATTCTCAGAAAAATTGAAAGGGTGAAAATGTGAGGTGGCAGGGGATTAGGACTTTTTTGTCCTGAAGGTTAACTTTGTATATCGCGGAGTGATTAAAAAGCACAGCACTAATCACTTAAGAAATTTTAACTTTTTCTAACAGCTAAAACGAGCCACGGAGGTAAGAATAAGAGAGAACACACTGAACATGCTTCGTGCTTATCTCCCACGCTCGCTTGACAGGTATTGAAGGAAGAAGAGCTGCTATTTGACTCTGGGAGGTAAGAGGAACCCATGAAGCTCTATTTCACCTCTGCAGCTTGATACATGTTTGAATTCCAAATCCTCTCATCTATTTTCTTGCACAAGGTCTGTTTACTTGGGCTTCCTATGCCAAGGGGTGACTCTCAAACGTCTTTAAAAATAAGTTAAGGGTGGGGAAAGGAATCTGAAAAGTAGGAAATTAATCAAAGATCTACATATCTTTCCTCCTCCTCGGTTGAAAAATGTTGGTTTTTTGAATAGGTGCCACTAAATGCTCATGTAACTGTTAAAGTGGGGCTGCAGCCTCCCTGTAATTTTGGGGTGGACACTCCACTGGGGCACTGGTTCCTGAAGTTTGTAGTCAAATACTAGAAATCTATAGGAACTTTATCATATTATTCATACAATTCTGCATTGAAAACCTCCTTAATAAGGATTTAGAAATGTATTTCCTACTAAGACACTGAATCAATCCCTCAAAAGGATTTGTTCTGAGGTTCTGTAAAAGAAAAACGTTCTCTCTCAAGTACAAAAACTTAAAACAACTGACAACAACAGAAATCTTAGAAGCCTATAAGCTGTAGAAACAACACGTATTACCTCACATGCTCATCCTTCAATTAACTTGTGATTTTCAACAGGAAAAATTAAGTGCTTTGATCTAAACAGCAGCTACCAAAAAAAAAAAAGCTATTAAGTTTCTTCTTTCTGAAAAGCGCTGATTAATATTTAATTGCCTATTTTCACTTGTCAAAGCTGCTCCTTCATAATTAACACATACTCAGGTAATTTAAGTCCCAGCCCCCGACTTTCTACTTCATTCCAAAGCTGAGGGAAAATCCTGAGGAGCAGCTTTGCTTTGAAGTGTCCTGGCCCCGCGTGATGCCTGGAAAAAGTTTCTCTTTAGAAACAACACTACAAAGGCTACGAGCTCTCGTGTTGGGGAAATCAACAGCCACGTAGCGAGAAGTGAGCTAACCGCCAGTCCAAAATCTGCCTGAACATCTGCTAGCTTTCTAAATAAAACTTGTATATTATTTTTTTTTTGTTAATGAGCCTTACCTGACACAGAGACTGTGTGTGACCTTACTCCTTGCTTCTCATTGTTGGCCAGCCTGTAAAAGAGAGGTTGGAATCGCTGAATGCTGTACATTCTTCCCGGTCACATACACTGGGAATTCATCCTTAACAGGGCACCTACTGTAATTAGCAGGGCCAATCCATTTCCAGCAGCCACAGCTTTGGAGGGGGGAGAAAAGTCAGAAAGGAATCTACCAACTCCAACCCATCTGGGGGAGCAAGAGCGCAGAGAATGCGTTACCGTTTTAATTAGCGCACTGATTAACGACGACAGGGCAACTGCGAGGGAAAAACCAACCCCAAGTTGTACAAACTTTTAAGATCGAGCTGTATGTGTCTAAACATTGTCAATGTGCGCAATTCGATGGTGCTTCTACTTTCTGTATTATCTGCTGGAAATAAAGTATGAATTGAGGGTTTGTCTGTAAAATGACTTAGCCTGTACAATAATTTTAAAGGAGTTTACACTTCAAGTAAATGAACAAAACCAATGTCATTTAAATGTGGTTAAGGTATAAACGTTCACTAGGATCAGAAATTCCAATGAATTCTTCTAAATTTCATTCACATACATCCAGAAAAACAATTTTAATGGTAAGAGAGCACTGTGTTTCATGCTTTCAGAAATCTGGAATTTCATCTGGCACCGGCAAATCTTCCCAGATGCAAGATGCTGTTGGCAAGTAGTTTTATATATCTGGAAAAAAAAAAAAGCCCATTCCTCTGCTGCCAGACTCAGAGCATGTGTGGAGCCTTTGTTTCAACACAGTCAAGTGTACAAATTCAGTTTTGGTAAAGTGTCCCAAAAATGGGAAGAAGCTTTTCCTTCCAACCTTATTTTTATTTCAGAAATCCTTATGAATAAAAATAAAGCATAAAATTTATGTAAAAAGTTATTCTGTGCTTCTCAGTTGCACCTATTTAAGTAAAAACAAGTTTTCTTCCTCTGTATGAACACACACTAAATGTACCAATTTCACTGCTTCCAGCCTCGATTTTCATTTCCTTTTCCTTCCTGCATTTTAACTCCTCTCTCTCTGCCGCAGGAGAAAGCTACCTGGCTAGCAAGGAAGAGCTATCACTTGTATCCAAATGCCTTAGCTTCTTGCAGATTCAGGACCAAACTGTGCTCCATCCTCCACCCAATAGTTAAAAAAATAATAATAATAATTCTGGACTTCTTCCAGGAATTGAGGAAGAAACAGAATGAGGTGGCTGGGTCAGAGCAGGTGTGTTCCCCGTGTCCCAAAGGAAAAAGGAAGCGATGAGACACTATAAACTGCTAAATTTCATTTGGTCTTTCAACATTTATCTCCTGCTACTGGGTACCAGTGACACTGCCCAAAAAGGTTCAAGAAAAACAATCTCATGAAACCGGCTTTTAACTGGGTCCGAATGCAGCTATAGGGAAAGCAGTCAGATGGCAAAAAAAAATAAAAAAAAAATAAATGTTTTGGTTCAAGGACTGGTTTAGGAGGCCACAATACAAAACTCCACACGGAAAGGGGAGAGAACCATCAAAACTTGCCAGATGGGATGGAGACCTCATCGCTGACACCAGGAGCACAGACAACCCGCAGGAAGAATTAATAGGCTTTTCTACCACTGTGTTATGAGACACCAACAATGTAAGGAGTATTCTTAGTTCAAGTGCAGTTAAATTAGAAATCTGTCCTTATTTACCTTTTGGGGAAGGAGAAAAGTGCAGAGAGGTATCTTAGCATACTTTATGTAAGAATTACGAGCTGGAGATAGCACGTCTCAGCATATCTTAGATACAGCATCACCATAAAACCAGCCAGAGGAAAAAGGCAACTCCATTTGCCTGACAGAGATTAGCATTTTCTACAAACCCACAATTATAATCAGAGAAGGAATTTTCTACATTGCTCTATCTTAAAAAAAAAAAAAAAAAAATTAAAAAGTATTAGCTATGTAAATGGCATTCCTTATTACATTGAACCTAGAGATCCCAACTCAGACTGGCCCCATTATGGAAATTTTATTAACAAAAGGTGACATGACAGACTTATGATAGGAGAAAAAAAAAAATTCTCTTTTTCACATAAGCAGAAAAGGGGACAAATAGGAAAAAAGAGCATAGGCTGACTCACAGATTGAAACCACAATTCAAAAACTGTTTAGCATCACTCCTATAATTACATTTACTCATGGACTCCACATAAATAGCCCGAATCCCAGTCAAGTCTTTTCCAAAACATCCTTCTTTTGTTACTGTCAAATATGTTCCATGCATTATGCACTTTTTCCCTCTGATTTTATTTCTGGTATCTGTATAGTTTAGTGCTGCTGTCAGTCATTTATGCCCCATGGTCCCAAATGACCGTCTGCTATTTGTCCTAGAATCCAAAAGCAACAATAAAAATTAAGCACATATAAAAAGTCCTAAAGCGTCACTTAAGCAAAACTATTTTTCAAAACATGGCTTTTTTTAAATTTAAGAAAAGAAAACATAACACTTACTTTGGTATTGACGGTAAAGCTCTTTCACCTTCTGTGTAAACAAGAAGAAAACAGGATTAAGATTTTATTGAAGCTTCCAAACAACCTTCCTCAATATGCAATATATACGTGCCTGAAACAATAATCATCACAATCTCTCAGGGAAACTGTGTTAATTCAAAAGACTCTTCGAGACATATATTTAGAGCAGCGAATCAACACAACCCCTCCTAACCAGTGATATAGACCTTTCAGCAACTCTTATCTGAGAGAACAACGTATACAGAATATTAAAGTTCTTTTTTTATTCTTAGCAAATAACTCCAATAAATCACCTTGCAGCAGGTGTGACAGTACCTCATCTCTCTAGTAAGAGAGGCTTTTCTTTTATCTCCCAGACACGCTAAGTGCTAAAACATAAATAAAACAATTGAAGCCAACTTGGACTTCCAGGCAAGAGGACTGAAATAAATCATTAAAGCACGTAACACGCCGTATTGATTTCACCTTTGGTTGAGATTATATAACAGTAATGTTTAGTAGCCAGAGGTGAAGTTAGCTCTTTGTAAACTATTTTCAAATCCTTGCCGGTCCTTCTCTGATAACGGAATTGCATAATAAAAACTTGGAAGTACATAATCAAGCTTTTTTTTTCCCTACTGGATTTGATGAGACACTTAGTATCCACGTGGGGAAGGACGATGGGGAAGTTACAGATCTTTTAGTGAAACACCAGTGATTTATAGTAGATTGAAGTATGAAGGGAAGGAGGGAAAAGGCAATTAAAATGGATTATCACTCTCTAAATCACTGCAGTACTGATAAAAGTGACCTGAGAGAAAATGGCAGAGCCACACTTTCAGAAAGCAGTGATAAACAGCAATTACGCAAAAATAATGTAAATTCTGGCTTGTTCTTATCCTATATTAAAATTTCTGAAATTTCCAGACGTTATAAAAGAAAACTACAGTCTCGCCTTTGTCAGGACATTTCACCATTTCAAAGGAAGTCTGCCCAATTTTAGTCAAGTCCAATCAGTAAATTGCTACTTAATATCAGTTTAAATTTTTATCAGTCGCTTCATTTCTGCTTTTTGCCTCTAAGAGTTAAGTGTCATAATGGAAACACAAATATTAAGCTTAAAGTTTCCACATTGGTCTAGTGGGACCTATATACCAAAATATTTATGAAAAACAAAACAAACATAATGGAAATATGCCAAACAGTGTCCAGGTCTTAAACATTACCAAATTAAGAAAAACTGGATTATTAATGGATGGCGAGACAGATAATATCACAAAAGCACAAGGTTCTTTTAGCAATCAAGAAGGATAATTTATGAGGAGATTTGCAATAAAGATGTAAATTTACAACAGATCAGGGATGGGAAAGCTCAAAGAGGGGAGAAAGCACATCTGTTGGACCCGGAGTTGCTACATGATTTGTTTTTGATGTGCCTTGAAAAAGAAGCTCACCGTGGGGGGGAACTGGGAACGCAGATCGTGGTAGGGACACCTCTCCTACAAAATGTTTAATTAATACATTGAGCATCGCTATGAACTTCAAAAAAAAAAGAAACCTCAGACAAAATAACCCCACAATTTAACTGGAGGGATTTCTCCTAATGTTTGCATAAAGAGGAGCATTCCCAAAGCGCTGTGTAATATTCCTTTAACTCAATCACTGCTCATCTGCTCTACATTAAAAGACACCAATAAGAAGATCACACAAATAAACACACTCCTTTAAATGCATTGATTTATTTTGCATTCCTCCCTGCTGGCAAACCACAGTGCAAGGCCCAGTTGTGCCTAATGCTGTGCACCACATCGAAGAATCAGAGATCTTGCTCTCTCAGAGATCAGAGCTTAGGGAGTCTACAAGACCTAACAGCTGAATGATCAGCAAACCCGGTCAGAGGAGGACAACAATTAGGAAGAAAAAGTGCAAATGGAGTGGGGTCAATTTTTATTGCCACCTCCAGCAGCAGGGAGTCAGGACCCACGTGCCTGGTTCATCTTAGATGGCGGTTACAGCATCACAGAATGATATGGGGTGGGTTGGAAGGGACCTCTGGAGATCATCTAGCCCCTCTGCCAGAGCAGGTCCACCTAGAGCAGGTTGCACAGGAACGTGTCCAGGTGGGTTTGGAATGTCTCCAGAGATGGAGACTCCACCACCTGCCTGGGCAGCCTCTTCCAGGGCTCTGCCACCCTCAAAGTCAAGACGTTCCTCCTCATGTTTAGGTGGAACTTCCTATGTACAAGTTTGTGCCCATTTCCTCTTGTCCTGTCACTGGGCACCACTGAAGAAAGACTGAGACCCACCATCCTCCTGACACTCACCCTTTAAGTATTTATAGGTGTTGATCAGATCCCCCTCAGTTGTCTTCAGACTAGAAAGACCCAAGTCTCTCAGCCTCTCCTCATAAGAGAGATGCTCCAGGTCCCTCATCATCTTTACAGTCCTCTGTTGTCCCCTCTCCAGCAGTTCCCTGTCCTTCTGGAACTGGGGAGCCCAGAACTGGACACAGTGCTCCAGATGGGGCCCCCCCAGGGCAGAGCAGAGGGGCAGGATGACCTCCCTCCACCTGCTGGCCACGCTGTCCCAGATTGAAGTAAAACAGAACCAACTCTCTATTCAGTAATTTTACATCTTAGTTAGGCCTCTTCTAACTCACTGAAATTAATGGCATATTGTGGAGAAAACTGCTCGTTCTCAGGGTGGTAAGACCAATGATTGTGCTTCATGCCAAGGAAAGGTTTGCAGAGAGGTTCTTGCTTATATTTATTGCTGTAACAACCAAGGTCAGCTGATTTCCTTGGAGGTTTCCTTGGTTTCCTTTAATCAAGCTAATTTGCCCGTTAAAGGGTCAGAAATGCAAAAAGCATAGAGAGGTCACACCTGTGGGGAGGAGGGGACAAGACACAGTCCTCTGTTGTCCCCTCTCCAGCAGTTCCCTGTCCTTCTGGAACTGGGGAGCCCAGAACTGGACACAGTGCTCCAGATGGGGCCCCCCCAGGGCAGAGCAGAGGGGCAGGATGACCTCCCTCCACCTGCTGGCCACGCTGTCCCAGATTGAAGTAAAACAGAACCAACTCTCTATTCAGTAATTTTACATCTTAGTTAGGCCTCTTCTAACTCACTGAAATTAATGGCATATTGTGGAGAAAACTGCTCGTTCTCAGGGTGGTAAGACCAATGATTGTGCTTCATGCCAAGGAAAGGTTTGCAGAGAGGTTCTTGCTTATATTTATTGCTGTAACAACCAAGGTCAGCTGATTTCCTTGGAGGTTTCCTTGGTTTCCTTTAATCAAGCTAATTTGCCCGTTAAAGGGTCAGAAATGCAAAAAGCATAGAGAGGTCACACCTGTGGGGAGGAGGGGACAAGACAGGTGACCCAAACCTGACCAACTTCTTGATGCACCCCAGGTGTCTTCTACGCATCATGGAACAAGTACTGAAGAGGGGATGGAAATCCTGTAGATATTTGGTCTGGGATCTGGTTCCTCGACTGGGGAAGAGCAGCCCAGAGGGTGACAGACCAGGGTTGGGCTGGGAAATGGAAACGCATGTGATGGGAGTGCAATCAACACCACAAAGCAGAGCTTGGGCACTGGATGAACACAGCTAAGACCTGTTGAAGGGCTTGACTGGCTGCAGTTGCTGTTGTGAGCGGCAGAACTGGAAACCCTCAGGCAGAGGTACTTTGTGGATTTAAGAGCATTTATACAAAAAAAAAAAAAAGAAACCCATCCTTGTAGAGGAAAAGATGATAATAGCATTGGCAACGTAGACTGAATGGACCCAATTCCTGAAATAGCACCAGTGCAGAAATGGCAGGAACTGGATTTACTCTACATGTGCCTCTAAAGGAAGAAGCAGATGACAGAGTCCTCCATGAGCTTAGCACAACCGGGAGGGAGGGAGAAGTAATGTTTTAAGATATGAAGAAGTTTTAAAAGCTCAACTTTCACTACTATAGCTCAGGCTGAAGAACAGCCAAACCACTGGGTATTAAAAAGAAAGTTCTGGGAGTGAATAATGACTATAACAAACCCCAAACCATGATCTTTTAGAAAAGTAGAGGCACAAAAGACAATCGCTCACAGGTTTAAACTAGATTAATGAAATGAAAATCTTGTTTTGTGATGCCAACTGTATTTCCAGTTTATTTACTAGCATTGTCACTGATGCCACCTTATCCTTTTGGTGTTGAATTTTCATGCCAATGGTTCATCATCCCCGAGCTGCACACACACCAGGTTGGCTGGAAGAGCTGATATTCATGTGGAGGGAAGATTTTCCTTTGCGTGGAGGTGAGGCTGATTTCTAACTAATCAGCCTCAAACAAATTAACTAACGTTAATTCTAACAGAGCTGCCTGTCTTTGAGCTAAGGGTCTCACTAAGGGGCAGTAATAACAAACAAATATGCAAATTTAAGAATAATCCGAACAATTACTAAGTGCTGTCAAAACATCTGACACCCTGCAATCACATTTCTTCATTACTGAATGACCAAATTTCAGTTTTTCCTCTTTTCCTTCCATGCTCGGGCAGGATGCTACGTATGGACCTGGGAAAGACCTGAACTATGTCAACAATGTTACTCCATTTGAAAAACTACTGAGAAAACCAGGGGCACAGGGAAGAAAAAACATGGTTAAAAAGGGACTCAGCTTTAGACTGGAGAGTTTCTGGGATGGTTTGTCTACCTTCTTGTATTACAAATAGGGAAGAAGGTAACAGTTTATTCATTGTTTTAGATACCAAAAATGCTGGGTTGACTTCCAGAAGTAAAGATTAGTACAGGAGGACAGAAATTTCCATTCTTAAGAGCTTTGCTTGGGTGTTTTTCAATAATTAAAGCTGGCTGAAATTAGAAATGCTAATGAAATTTAATTAAAATTCTCTCTTTAAAGTTAGGTGTACCAGCACCCTGGCCTCACTGCTTCTGGCTAGTGGATTGCTACAAAATCAACTGATCAGCACTACAAAATGCATATCTCTGCTTTAGTTTTATTTTATGAGAAAGGCTCATGAGACTTCTCTCAAAGTTTTTAAAAGGAGTATGCAGGAAGAAGGCAGGTATTTTTAAAAATTAACACTAGGCAGAACCTTAACCAAACGCATTCTAACCAAACACTCTGAATTTCCACTTGTCTATTAGGGAAACACATTTCAAGACAACACATCCTTGTTAGGAGTGCCGTTAATTACAACTTATTTACACCTGCTAGTTAAGTTTGGAATACTGCAAAGCAGTGTTGCTGAAAACTAGTCTAAATTATCAGCCATTAAGTAATTTTTGATGGAGTGATGTTTACTCTCAGTGTGGCTCATAACAAAAGTACTTCACGGTTCCTCCCCGAAAGACAAGAGCTTTCAAGCGAGGTTTTTGCTGATACCTTGTGTCTTCTATTCAAGCACAAAATAATCTAGATATGAGTCTAGGAACTACCAGAACCAAACACCTCCTTACCTTTCTGTGGCCTGATAATAAAAGACTGCGTAGCTCCGTTCACCAGCCGGCAGTAGCCGTCTATCAGGTCAGCCATGTTCTCCGCAATGGTTAAGGATGGGGCTGTCACCGTCAGAGGCTGAAGAAGGGAAAAAAAAAAAACAAACAACAAGTCACCAACAAAGAGGAATTATTGTAGCTGCAAACACTGAGCAGAACAGCTGTGTCATTGCATCAGAACTTCACACGCACTCGCAAACAGTAAACAGAGAAACGTGGGTGAGGAAGAACTATCAGATTCTTGCTTTACCTCTTCTGTCGCAAGTTTGAAACGCAAAGTTCAGAAAGCATGGCTGATAAAACCCTCCAACCAAATGTAATATTAATCTGGGCTTATTAGGCTTCCTGGCTAAACTTTCAGTCAACCACGGTTCGTTACAACTCCTATGACTTTCACAGCTGTAATTATGACAATTCAGAAGAAGCTGCTAATTCCTTAAAGCTCTTACAGGTGCTATCCTTTTTCCACCCCTTTGCAGCAAGTTCTTCCTCACCTTAATAAGTAACCTTCCCAATTTCGTCTTTAGGCCATAGCATCATATACATATCCAGGATACTATTAAGTTGCACTTAAGGGCTAGGATTTTGTAATTAAGCTTCTTTTACCAATATTAAGGTATACAAGCACCAGATGCAAATCCTAAAACATGTAATGAGTTTTTAGTCTATTTTAAAAACAAAAATACCTGACTAGTATAATGATGACTGCTCACACCCAACTTCCCCTTAAAGAACAAGAAAAATCAAACAACTGCAGAATGCTTGGAATATAAAAATATAAAATATAAAAATGTTAAAATATAAGTACTGGCTGTAACTACAGGAGGACCAAGAATGTTTAACAATAACTGAAGTGTTTGTACACACACACAGACAGGCAGTGCCCAGCTTAAACACGCATGTGCAAATGCACATTACACATTTAATACATATTTACACTGACAGCAGAAAAATCCAGAATGAAGTTACACACCAGAACAGGAGTAAAATATACAGAATATCTTCATTAAGAGGATACTATTCTCCACCCCTTCCCAGGAAAACCAAAGCTGGGAAGTTTCTCACAACTCTCAACATCATACCTCAGGGGCACCTGCTATCTTGAGCTGCAACATCCCTTTTCTGTCCTTGTCTTCACTGTTTGAATACTGAATAGTTTGCACTTGATTAAAGTCTGCTAGATGAGTCGGCTGCAGGAAGGTAATGGGAAAAGAGAAGAATATTTCAAAATTAGTGGAAAATACTTAGCCATTATTCCGGATGTTGCAAATGCACAAGTAGAATTTGATCTCCAAATTACACTTGTAGAAGTCTGTTCCTCTGTTTCCTCCTACACTGTCGTTAGGCTTTGGCTAACGACATATTCAAATATTCATATTCAAATATCTACAAGTGCTTGCAGAATGAAGCCAAGCTCCAAGTTTGCCCACAGAGGTCAGTGTTGAGTAACTCCAGGCACCTCCTGAAGTACTTGGTGGAAACAACCTCTTGCAGGTCAGACTCAACAGCTTGTGCCCCTGGGCACGGAACACAAACCAGATGGTTGTACAAGGTATGTTCTTATACCCAGCTTTCAAACCTTTTCACTAACTTTGAGTGAATTAAAATATAAGTTGGACATGGACTCAACTGAAGTCATGACTGTGAAGATCCCAAGCATTTTGCTACGAGAACCTGCCTGAATATCCTTCCTTGCACCATGGAGGTGCATGGGAAATACCATAACACAGTCCATATCAGGTGATGGAAAGACCATCAAGGGTATGAAGCAAATAAGCCAGCAATGACTGCACAAGTGCTCAACACTGATTAAACAAGTTCTTCATTTACGCATTCCTAACAAAGAGGAGAATAATTTAGAATAATTTTCATGTTTCACTGTTAAAAAGTCATCAATAATGCTTTAAATTCTACAAGTGAGCACTTCACTGGCTACAAAAGCCACCAAATTCAGCGCTAAGGCTGACACCATCTCTCTACTTAACCCAGTGCATTTTCTCCGATCCCAAATCCCGAGTTAATCATATCTGAATAACAGCCATACACGCTGAATTTCCCAGCTCTTCTGTGTTCAACTCAAAGACTAGACTTGCCATTCCCCTTTGTTCACAACAGGTCACGGTTGTTAAGACAGTAACTGAGAAAAGAAACCAGCAGGAAGACTTACATTTGCACCCTTGTCTGTCAGGTAACTGATTCCTTCTTCTGGGCCAATTGCCAGCTCCACTGAAATAATCCAGCTTGACTTCAGAATGGAAGGAGAAAGACAGGGCAAAATTTCAATAGAAAGACAAGATCTTACTATAGAACACTACTCTCCAATGTTATAATTACAATTTTTACTAATTAAGCTCCAGAAGCTTTGAAACTCTACAAGCAATTTAAAATATATTAAAATCAAGCAATTCAGTAAGTAGCAAAACTCCTCGTGACTGGTTTCCTGGGGATCCGTGCTACTCAAAATGTATTTCCATGTGTTTTATCTTAGGTCTACATGAGAGCTATATATTTCCTGCATTTCCTCTTCTCATGGACATTGATGTTCATGTTCGAATTTCTACTCCTGTGTCTATTTTCACAAAGCCTGCAGACTTAAGGTCCTTTCTCAAAATGTGAAATTGGTAGAAATTAAAAGGCATTAGAGGAAAATTTACAAACAGAAGAAGCTGAGAAGTCTCATTTTCTCAGGAAACCAGGTTAAAAATTGCTTGACTTTCACAAAGGACCAAGAAAATATTTAATAATGTACAATTCTTACCCTACTAATGAACCGTGCTTTTATAACAGTCATCTGAGAAAGCTCTAAGTAAAATCAATAAATGTATTTTGTTGTTAATGAAATCTAAGAACTCATCTCTGCATCAAAACAGGAGCTAATTAGTTGCAGAACTAAAGAAAACCAATTAGACTCAACTACAGCACACAGCAACGGTCACGTTCCTCTACTTACACCGAGAGCACACTTGAAGCATTCCTTGTCAAATCTGTACACTGGAGAGAGGATCTCAAAGAATTTCAAAATACTTTCTTCTCTATTGAGGTTGGCAAATTGTCGAAATGTTTGTTGGATTAATTTTCGTAGTGTTTTGGCCTGTGTATTAAAATGTTTAAAGATGGATTATTTTGCATCTAATCAGGGATGGTGCATTTAAAGAGTTTCAGTCACTTTGTACCACTAACAGTTTCTTTATTAGTGGGATGCAGACACTTCTCAAGAAAAAAACAGCTTCAAAATATAAGTAACAGTTATGCCTTCTAACTTCTGCTTGGGAACAAAATTATTTATTCAATATATTATAGAGGGAATACCTAACTAATGATGTTTTGAATAAGATGTAATAAAATACAACACGTCAACCTTTGCAGGAACTATTTTTCCCAGATTGCTCTTTTCTCCCAACTTCCTAAGTGTCTATCAACACAAAACCAAAAAAAAAGCAACATACACCTTCATATTAGGTTTTAAACTCAAATCACCATTGTCTTCTCTGGTAGTAACAACCCAGCTGTAGCTGTATCTTAATCTCTGCGCACAATATCTCAGACTATCTATAATATAGTGGATTCTTAAAGTCTGATAATATGTAAAGGTATACAAAAAGATAAAATTTCAATAGTAAATTAAAATTAATGTAAAAAACAAACCAAACTTTTAAATTAAACTATTTTTACTAATATATAAAAATACTAAAATACAAAGAAAATAAATAATATTTCCTATTATTTTATTAACAGTTTTCAGGGCAGAAATAACCACTTAAAAAGAGCAGCAGAAATCACCCTCCCAACATCTGGGACAGTAGAACAGAGCAAGACACCTAATTACATTTATTTCCTGAAAAATAAAGTACATAGAGGATACAAGCAGGCTTTCAAACAGCTGCATTTAAAAAAAAAAAAAAAAAGGAGAACTAAACTAAGACTTATGAAAAGTGAAGAATTCGCCTCTACATAATGTATAATCCTTGGGAAAGCTGCCATTCATATGAAAATAAAAATGGAATCTTAAAAGCAATTTCTTTAACATGCCCCAAAACTGAACAAGCAATCAAGGATCCTGAATAAAACAATCTATTTCTAAACCCTAGAATTTATCTGGACAAAAGTTCAGTGCGTTCGCCTCACCTGTCCTAATTATAAGAATCAGAGAATGATTTAGGCTGGAGAAGAGGGAGGAGCACAGGTACGTTCTGTCAGTGGGGCAGGGCCAGGGGACCCACTCATTTTTCGTCGCTGTTTACATCACATAATGCCCAACTGTTAAAACCACAAACACATCTATTCTTTTTCCCTTTGCCAACGTTTGATCCATATTTAAAGTGACCAAATGGGTTTAAAGAAAACCTTAGTAATACCCATTTCTAATATATCTTCCAACTAACAATGACAGAAGGCAAACCCATGCTTATTTTTGCAATATGTCAAGGTTAAGACAGGAATTACCATTGTTCCTCTACTAAAACTTATCTCAATGTCCTATTGTAATGGCATTAAAACTCTTCATTCTTTCAGGTTGCCCATAACAGCTCCAGGCACTACACAAATATAAACTTCCTTTGGCCGTTAGCGCTTCCAGTCAGATTAGGCTTTCATTTTTAGTAAGCCTTTAAAGAACACTCAGAAGTCTAAACAGCCAGAATTTTTTAAATGGAGTTTTCAGAAAAGAATTACTCTAATAGCGGTGATCCAAGGGGGTTCTTATTCACATAGAAAATGATGGTCAGTTTTGCAATGACACTATAAAAAGAAAAAAAACCCGCTAGCTCAAGCTGTCTAAAGTTATTTCAGCCACTCAGTTGTTGAAAGATACTTTATTCTGCCCATGGTTCATTCTCCTGGCCAGTTTCAGTTCCATCTTGACTACTGTGCAGAATGGCATATGTTATTTGGACTTTGGAAGTCCACAAAGAAGACTTACTCTTCACTTTGAGATCATTAACGAGGTGTAAATATTAGAAAGTCAGTTTGAAAATCACACCTAATTTCCTCTTAAAATACTTCCTATGAATGTTTTCTTTCCTTCAGCTTTTGCTCAAGGCATGACTTAGAGCGACAGGGAAGACTCCTAATTTGCAAACTACACACAACCTGGGTTACATCCATTTCCCTGCATCCCTCTCATCCCTAAATTGTCTGTTTAATTTCAGTAGATATTTTTCCCCATGGTGTTTGCACCCCTGCTATACCCACGTACCTCATGGCTCAGCTAAACAGAATCACAGAATGATACGGGGCTGGAAGGGACCTCTGGAGATCCTCTAGTCCAACCCCCTGCCAGAGCAGGTCCACCCAGAGCAGGTTGCACAGGAACGTGTCCAGGTGGGTTTGGAATGTCTCCAGAGAAGGAGACTCCACCACCTCCCTGGGCAGCCTCTTCCAGGGCTCTGCCGCCCTCAAAGCGAAGAAGTTCCTCCTCATGTTTAGATGGAACCTCTTATGTTCAAGTTTGCCTTGAACTTCTTTTCCTGCCAGTTCAAAATCATTGGTCTTCAGAAGATGCAAGAGTCATTTAATCATTTGAACCAATCCTAGATGATTTGTAATAGGGACTTCACTTTCAATAAAAGCAGACCCATTTTTCCTCTTCATATTTCCATTGTTTTTTTTCATGTCTTTGCAAGGTTCTACTCAGCTTCACCTTCTGGTAATTCCTGCTACTTTTTCTCCTTTTCTCCCCATTTCACAATTTCTAAAGAACAGTTTTCTTTCTTGGTCAGTTTTCTGGCTCCGTAATACCATTTTTTGAGACAGTTATTCATTCTTTTACGTCTGGAGCCTTTCACCACAATTTCTCCCATTAGAAGAGAATAGAGTTTCAGATAATTGCTTAAATTAAAATGCAGAGGGATTACTTAAATCCACTTGACTTCATTTGCTTCTGATTTTCAAAAGTCTTTTGAAACAAAACCTCTCGATGACAGCCCTTTTCTGTTCATCCATTTAAATCACAAAGTAGAAACTTTCTAAATCTGAAGTAGAACTCTATTATTTCTATAAAACCATCCCTGCTTACCAAATCAGCTCTAAAATACCAGTTTATGCTTTACACTTTCACGTATGAATGGTAAGAGATATTTTACCAAGACATTCATATCAAGACGGCGATAACTGTAAAAATACTTGCTGACCATTCTTGACCCCCTTTTAAAAACATATCGAGAAAAATTTGCATTTTTTACTCTGGGAACATATGGACTTCAATGGAAGTGAGACTCAAGTAACATTTACAGTCTTAACCAGGCTTAACACAAGTGGAAATTACTGGAAATTGTCCTTGAATGAGCTGGATACAGCCTTCAGCAAGGAAAGCAGAATAGGGTTTATTGAGTGGCCACTAAAAATATGTTATTTTCTTACATGTCCCCTTCCTCTTTCTCCAGAAATCTAATTTCTCTTTTAGGGGACAGAACAAAAAAAAAAAAAAAAAAGTTTTCTAATACTAAAGGATCTGAGGACTCATTTTTAACAAGGTTTGAGAGGCAGAAGTGGACCTCTCTCACAGCAGCTCAGCAAGGCCACATAAATCACTATCATTTTAGTTCTGCCAGCACAAGCTGCACAGCAATTCCAGGGAAAGTAATAATGCAATTTTCACATTTCTGACACTGATTTTTTTTTTTTTTAGTAGTATACAATTGACTGGAACTATAATTACCTTCACTGAATCTAGTAAACTCTTCGGGAAAAACCGTCTTAACCCAACATCTTTCCTGAAACAAAAACACACAGAGCATTAATATAAAGAACATTGTGCAATATTATACTGCTATTTTTCAAGGTTTGGTCTTGTTCTGTTTTTAATCTAGCACATGCCATACAGTAAATGATTTCCATAGTAAGGTCCTCGACAAACACAGAACCACTGAAGTGCTCACTGCAGCCGCTCCACAGCAAATGCAGGAGAGCAGTGGCTTTAGGTTAAATTCAAAAGGAAAATTCAGTGAAATTCAGTGAAATCACATTTACAACAGGCACCTGGTGTGGAAACTCTATTATTTGAAATGTTGGCTTGGACACAGAGAAGTTTGGAGAATAAAAACCATATGTTTTCATAATTTAAAAAATATTGAAAAACTTTACAGCATGTAGGAAGCTGAGAAGTGAAAATGGCAAATTCTAATAAGCATCTATTAGAACTGAGCAGGAGATACAATATAAAGGGAAAGACTTCCCATGACATCACCTCAGTGAGCACGTTGACTGCTATTCCACTACAGTTTTATCCTTTGCAGGACTATAATTAAAGTGGATTTTATTTTTTTGCCATTTCTGCTGTCACTTTTTCTTCATATCGAGCATTCCCAGCTTTTTATTGCAAGGAATCTCACTTTTTGCATCTGTAAATCAGGCTCCTAATTCTGTCTGTGAGCTCAGATTTTTCAAACTGAATTACATTGAGCTCACCTGCACACTTATACCTAGGGCTGCAGCCTTCCTTTGAAACCCAGAGCCAGAAAAATGAAGTATTTTTGTGGCTCAGATGCTCCGAGCTTTTATCTGATGCGTGTGTCTATCACTACAACTAACTTCAGCTTCAAGAAAGATACCTGAGAAGTTGCCAGAGATGTGTTAGTGCAGATGCTGATCATTATACAACCAGGTATATCAAAAGTTGTATGACTTTGAACTAGTTGTACAGTATTAGCAGAAAATTTGCATGAGAAAAAGGAAAACCTTAAAGAAAAATGTAAATAGGAACAGGACTTATATCCTTGCCTCTCAAAGGCATTACTGACTTTTTTCCTTTAAATTTTGGAGGTTACAATAATTTTTAAATAAACAATGTTTATGAAATGAGTATCAGAGCAAGCTTTCCATGACTGCATGCTTTGAACATCCAAACACATCTGAATTACACGTGGCAAAAAAAAAGACAAGCCAGCCTGAGATATAGAGTCTCTAGTTCCTGCTACCTACCGGCGCAAGAAGAAAGCCAACACTGAAGTCAGTGCAAAAAGCTGACTCAGAATAAGAAAAGAAGGTACTTTTAAAGCTCCCTAAAGACAAGTATTATACCACTTCACAAAACATACTAAAAACATCCTCAACTGAGAGGAGCAGAACGTTCATGGGCAGCAGTGAACCCTGGCATCTGTGCAACGACAGTGAGCTGAAAGATTATCAAACTTTCATAAATGTTAATTCCTTTGATGCATTTCTTCTCAAATGCAAATTAGATGCGGTTTATCATCCCACACGGTTAAATAAACCTAACGCACTATTACCATCTAAATAACATGCAAAGACATTTTGACAAGGAATATATTAGTTTAGCATTAAGCAGTGGAGATAAAAATGGTGTTTTCAAAAATGAAGCACCCAACATCCCTCCAGGATTACTCATTGGAACAGCACACGCTGCCACAAACTGACTCCATTCACTATTAAAAAAGACTTGCAGAGTAGCCTTTTGCCCAGATCTCTATGTAAAAAATTCAGAAGAAATTCTTATGCAGAATGCAACACAAGACAAGTCAATACAATTTGTTAATAAAGCATGTCCTGTGCTTAAGCGAGATGGGGAATTTATTTACTGGAGGAGAATTTAACGTAAGAAGCGTACAGATTTAATGCCACAGTCAATAACAAACTACGGGCACCTATAAATAAGAGAGCAAGCATTGGAAATTAGACCATACAAACAGTTTTAAACACACAACCTGACAAAGTCCTTCCCTTCCCTCCTCAGCTGTGCTTTTTGGGGAGAAAATGGCCAATTTGGGATACACACAACTCAGTCCTTCAGATTAACAACTCAGACATCTGTTTTCTGATTACCAGTAGTAATCAGAAATTACCAGTAGTAATCAGAAATAATAATTAGTATAATAATAGTAATTAGTATAATAATAATTAGTAGCAAGATCCTGGTTCCTACAGTTCTACTACAGCTTTGCATTTAACCGCATCTACTCCAACCTACTTGTGGGCTTAACTATAATTTTATATATATTTTTAATGTATAAACTTCAACAGAATTAATAAAATACCAACTCCAGACAGATGACACCGCTCGTCATATGATAAGCAGCTTCAGGCAACATATATCTTTATTTCTATTTTTCATCTCAATTGAAGTTACAACAAAAAAGTAATGTTAGATTTACATAATAGACTTTTAACATGCTTTTTACAAAACTGTGGCTGCAGCTGTTCCTTCATATAGCTCCCATTTTTGTACTTGTAATTATCCCTGCTCTATGCTAACAGGCTTCACATTTATTATGAAAAAAATTTTCTTCTTTCATTACATGAAGGCCCAACTATTAAAGGCTACTTAACGGTTTGATTCTATCTCCCATTTCCCATCCACATTTGGTCTTGTATGAAAATCCGATCAAAGACGACTCCACATCAAATAGACATCTGACAAAGCCAGGCAAGAAGCAATCACACCAAATGCAAAAAAGTGCCATTTAAAAATTGCACTCAGCTGGTGAAGTGCCTCGTGATGTACTAAAACTAGAAAAAAAAACACCCCACAAACAAAAAGCCTCACTTGAGAAATAAATATTACTTGTGTAGATAAACCTTTATGGACTATTAAGGTGGTAAGAGAGAATGAATAAATTTGGGGGTTCTTTGGCACTTCTTGCAGACTCTTAGTAGCTTACAATTATCTATAGCCACTTTAAGGTGCTTTTATCCTCCATCTCTCCCATACAAAACACATTTTGCTTCTCAAAGAAAAAATAATCTTGAAGTGCACAATCCTACATTTCCAGTTTCACAGGGCATTAAGCTGTTATATTTTGCATATCAGGGTTTTACTTGGCTTTGTCTTTCCCAGCAGCAATTAAGTTATTTCCCACCAAACCAGCTACTGCTTGGAAAAGGCACGACCTGAAAGAGACACATCACCGGTCAACCGGCCCCATAGCGAGCCCTCCAGGAACTCTCACCTGTTATAATTATTAATTAATACTTCGTGTCATTTGTTACGACCTTTGTTTCCTCATCGTTTCCAAAGCTGTTAACTAATTCCTAATGTTTTGTAGATTTTGGATTTGCTAAATTACTGACTTAATAATACCTCTCTTGAGTTCTTGCTGGAACGTAGGGAAACTGCAACCACTGTAACTCACAAGCTCCCTTTTCCCGAAGAGGATGAGGAAGGATCCGAATTTCTCCAGGTCACAGAACCTTCACATCTTTTTTAAATCACCTTTTAGCCCTGTCTGTCTGCTCATCCTGTTCGTTTTTATTAGTCCTTTCTCTGTTCTCCGGGATATTTCTACTAGTGGCTACTGACAGAAAACTAAAGTCCTTCAAAAAAAACCCTAATTCAAACAAAAACAAAGCTGTAAAAATTCTGCACAGCTGGAGGAGCGCTATAGAAATAGCAGGCACTACAGAAATCAGAAGGCAATTCATTGAAGTTATCTTTGCCTGTTAAAATCACACAGTTTCCTCAAAAGTCCTCGAGAACTTATTCATTGTGATGAAAAATCTCATCTTCCACCTCCAAATTCTCTAATTTCACACTTCTAAAAGTTAGCACGTGCGTTTTATTAAAAATAGAATAAACACAGAGACTTCACTGCTACACAAACCTTTTATACCAACTTTAAGCTAAACTTACAGTATCTTTTCACAAAGCTAATTGGTACTGAGGAGCAGATCACTGGTGTATGTATATACGTATGCATGAAACTTGTTCCACTAAAGTAACACAAATAAAACCAGTTTTCAATCCCTGAAGCTTCTAAAGGACTTTGGATTGCTTGGACTGAAGCCATCAACTGTACAACATCCTTAAGTAGCCAAAATGCTTTCAGTATAAGGACGATTCTTGGTCATCTTAAAATCTGTGATCCACAGATAAATAAACTTCCTAATTGCAAGGTCACCATTCAGGAAACCCACGCACTGAGCAAACAGAAGAAAAAACAATACCACAAACATGTTCAAGTAACTCAAACTTTACCACAGATGAGTCACAACTGAAGAATGCAAGTATGCACAGAAAACAGTTTAGAAACTGAATCACCTTAGAACTAGAGTTGATGAACCCATAAACATTAGCAAAATCACAAAAAAAAGTCATAATAAGCCTTGTGATCAAGTTTGAACAACTCTTAACCCTGTTTCCCTGGACCAGAGTTAAATGTGCTCTTTCTGCTTCTATACCTTGATAGGTTTCATCATCCTTTTCTTGTATTAAAGCACTCAAAGTTCTCAAACTTCATTGAATAAAAAATTACGACAGAAACATTTTGTTACTGAACTGAATTCAATGTTTAAGATACAGCTGATTAAGATACAGTTCGAACCTGAAGCTAGAACACCATACTTACTCTAACACTTCATAGTTGGACTTCTTTTCTAATGCATTGCCTCTCATCTCTCCGTAGGATCTCCTGAAGTCAGGAAAAATATTGGAAAGCGACAATTATTGGATGATCCAGCCTAAAACTACAACATTAATGTCGTCAAAATCTTTCAGAGACTTACCATTAGAAAACATTGGCACAATGAATTCAATTATAAAAATTAGTACATGATTCTCCTGCCTCAACAGATCGAGATTTTTGTTTTACAAAATAATTGAGTGTATGGAACATTACACAGGACTACAGCAGTAGTGTGTTTTCAGAACCACTTTAAACCAGTTCAACTCCGCTGCTACCAAAAAGAAATGATTGAATCTACCCTTTTCTGCCCTTTCGGTGTTTCCCGCCTCGTGTCTGGGCATGTACTAGGGAGAACCGGAGGAAGCAGGAAATGCTGAAAACTGAACAATCTAGACATGTTCACATTAAAAAAAAAAAAATTAATAAATAAATCAAGAATGTATAGCTGTTGTTGGGAGTTGGATCGTTGTTTTCACTGGGAAAGCAGACTAGTAAGGCTTATGGGAAGAGAGTCTCAGTAGTCAGCTACTAGAAACATCTCGTGAAAACACTCTGAAGAGCAAGGGCACGAGACTCATGGAGGGCAGGACCTGCCTGACAAAATAATCATGGATTATTATCCTCATTGCATGTTTTGAAACAGTTTTGTAAGGGTGTAAGGAATTTGCAGTTACACAAAGAATTTTTGTTTTCTCTGGGGCTATGGGCAAAACTTAGAGCAAAGACATCAGGTTCTCCGACAATACCCAGGCAATTTCATTAGCCTGAATTTGCTTTTATTTTGGAAAGTACTGTTCAAAGGACACTTTTATTCTCTGCTAACAAGTTTACATTTGCCATTAATTTCTTATCAACGTTACTTGTTCCCTAATCCCCCTGTGCGAGACAACAGCATAACTAAAGCAAATGTTTCAGGCTGGAAATTCTCCATAAATTATCAAAAACCAAAACATGCATTTCAAAAGCTGTGCTGGGAGCTCTCTCAAGGATCTCTTAATCTGATAAATTTATCTTTATTTTCCAGCTGTCTACACAGTCGACAAGAACACCACAAACACCCAAAAGAATCCTTAAGATTTAATCATTTGAAAACAGCACATTAAAAATTGAGTAAATGCAGAGAGGAAAGGTAGCAATATTTTGCTTTAATTACATTCTCTAGCTGTAGCATTTATATATGCACAATGACAACACTATTTGCTAAATAACACCACAGATGCATTTTTTTAGGTTTCTCTACAAGCCTTTGAATTATTCAGACGACGAATTCACCCAAAAGGCAGTAGCAAGATGTCATTAATTAAAATTTTTAAATTAATGTTAATTTAAAAATCACTAGAAACTGGTTACAACACAGTCTATTCAGTTTTTCTTCAAACTACTTTGTAGCAAAAAAAAAAAAAAAAGTCTTGTGATGTTTTATTCAACTCTAGTGGTCAGAAATCGATGAACTACAAGCAGTTTCAAAATTAATGTATATATATATTCAGTCAGTAACATGTTGAATAATAAATGAAATTATCAGCTTACCGGATTTCAAGGCAACCTAGTTTCAAAGCAATTTCCTGGTCCACTTGATCTGCTATTTCTAACATATAGTCATTTTTCACCTACAGCAAAAGAAGCAGGTACGCATCACAGAGAGATCAGTTCAGTGCCGAAACAGACTAAAACACTGCCCAACCAACTTTAGAATAAATATGCTTTAAGTGTAATTTTCTGGAATGATTATTTTTAGTGCACGAAGAGGAAAAAAAGAAGTTATGTTCATCTTCTCCACAAATGAGCTGCATTTTTGTAAGAAACCCATTTCAACTGCAATAAATTGGATTAAAAAAATGTCCTTATCTACATCAATATTACTTATGTTTTATTAAATATCATCAAAATCTTCCCAGGAGGCTGAGCAGATGGTTGCACCTGCATTCAATATATGTGAATGTTGGCTGTATTCTTGAACCGTCTTGGTCAACAGTTATGAATTCTGTAGGTGCATCTAATCATGCCTCTAAACCAGACAAATATCTGTACATTACTGTGAAAATAACAACAGAAGTGAAAAGAGCAGTATGTGAAAATCATACTACACACTGTCTTAAAATAAATGTTTGAATTAGCAAGAAGAAACAGTAGTGAAACTAGATGGTTACCATCCACAGTAGGAAATAAAACGGGCCAAGGAGCACGCTCTGACCTGGAGGAGACCAAACGCTATGGCCACCTCTCCTGAAGAGGGCTGCTGGGCCAAACCAGCGTGTTAAGATTCATAGACTGGTTTGGGTTGGAAGGGACCTTCAAGATCATCCAGTTCCAGCCCCCCTGCCCCGGGCAGGGACACCTCCCACCAGACCAGGTTGCTCCAAGCCCCATCCAGCCTGGCCTTGAACCCCTCCAGGGATGGGGCAGCCACAGCTTCTCTGGGCAACCTGAGCCCGTGTCTCACCACCCTCAGAGTGAAAAATCCCTTCCTGATACCTAATCTAAATCTACCCTCTTCCAGTTTGAAGCCATCACCTCTCGTTCGATCGCTACATGCCCTTGTAAAAAGTCCCTCTCCAGCTTTCTTGTAGGCCCCCTTCAGATACTGGAAGGGAATCTTCTCTTCTCCAGGCTGAACAGCCACAACTCTCTCAGCCTGTCCTCATAGAGGCTCTAACCCTCCTGTCTTCTATGCAACGGGCATTTTTTATCAGTAACATATCTCTACAGTTGTACAACGCCTCATGTTATCCTCTATCTCACAAAATCCCATACTTGCTATTGAGATCCTAAAGCCCAAGATCTTAAAGCTGGAGAAAGTCCTGAAATATCTCAAAATCCCACGAATCAAAGAGGAGTTTATACATTATGAAATTAATATAGTTCATAAAGTGTTTTTTTGAGCGATGACAATTTGTTAAGAAAAACTATCTCTATAGTTTAACAGATAAGGAAATACAGCAGGAGATTCAACAGCTGGAGGCCCTCCCCAGTCAGCATCCTCCCAGTAGCACATGAGTGCACACCACAGCACTCCCTTGCCACCAGTATGACAGCTGGATCCAGTCCAAAGCAACACATGAGACCTTCCTAGCTATGAAGTGCCTGAAATATTGTAATTTTTTATTGAAAGACAGGAAAGAAGAAATATGATAAACTGCACAAGAGTGAGAAGATGAGTTATGACAATGGCTGCAACATCAGGAGAAAGCTTCTTCATTTAAACTCCTGCAGGTACTCAGCATAACAAAACAATAAACTTTTAGCTCTTCTCAATTCAACTCCCACAAATACTAACGAGACAGAAAAAGAACTAATTGTCCTTCAGCATCATGGAGTTTGCTATTTACATACACGTATGCAAATGGTACGTCTGTATTCCCATGGCACTAATACATAATTAGCCTGTAATCCTCAGTATCAGCAAATGCCAAAATGGGAAGAAGTTCCCCAGGAAAGGGCACTTGTGGAAACAGGACAAAAAAACGCAGAGATTTTGAGTAGTATCTCAAGTAGCATCCATTTACCATTACTCTCCATTCTACCCCAGAACTGCACCTGTTGGCAATGCTATAGTAGTTTCTAAGAGAAAAACTTCCAGAGCCAAGGTTTTATTGAACTTTGTATCAGAACTACCATCTAGACACCTTCATAAATGGCACAACGTAGCAACTGAAACAGAAAATTAAATGAGACCTTCTGTTCATCACGAAGGCTATGAAACCTGTCCCGCATTAAAACTGTCAGACCCAAGCTCAGAGCATTTAAATGAGGAATATCGTTTTCAGGCTCCCATGTTATTGCCATAAATGACCTCTGCAGTCCCCGTGGTGGCAAAGGACAGAACAGTACTCTCTGTCCCCATGTCTTATATTTGAAAAGTAAGAAACAAACTGAAAATGCAAATTTTATGTGAGTTCAGTTCTTATCTTGACGGCCGCGTTCCAGAAATGCACCAAGTTAACAAAAGCTATAATCAATTTACTTCTTGTTTATACCAACCATGCTGAGGTTTAACAAACCTTAATTGTACTTTAAATCCAAGCTGTCATTTCATTCTCCTACCCTTTTCCTGAGAACTCACCTTCATGTACAGGCCAAGTTACATCAGCTAAAAAGCGAACATCTCTGTTCACAAAATGCAATACCCACTCAGCCTTACACCCACCCAAATCAAATAGCCATTGGTTAGTTAGCTTATATTTAATTATTTCTTAAAAAAACAACCCTGTGCATTCAATTTTTGAACCATTTCAGCAATTTTACATCACCAGGAAATTTCCAAGCCGTTATCCACCCGTTCCTTGAGGCGTTCAGACACCACGAAGAACTGACTGAAGCAAAGTATATTTTCAATCCTGACATATAACCCCCCCCTTGGCAGAAACGGTGCTAATTTGAGGCTACTCGTTTATCACGGTCAAATTTGTATTCATTTATTTTCACAGCTCATTGCCTTGTAGATCCCAGTACCGAAGTACTTCATTTGTTTTTAACTAAACCACTTAAGAACATCTTCAGTTTCGTTTCAATGTATTTTAAAAAGCTGCCAGCCTCAAGTAAGTGCTATTCCATAAATAAATAAGCCACATTACCCAAACATGTAAAGTTTGGAGTTTCTTTCCTCTTGCCCTCTGGCTCGGAAGCTTTCACAAATTCCAGTCGCGTTTTCCCAGTTTGACTCTGCAACTACAGGCACCAGAAGTTGACTAAGAAAATTTTCAGTCCCCTCCTGACCCCAACAATTTGGAAGAAAAAAATAAGCACTGTGAAAATTCTCAGCTTATTTGCAAGACAAAAGTGAGACGTTCTCACTGGAACGCTGCAAGCAGACAGTTGCCGGCTTGAGTGGATAATTTTGGTAGCATGAAAAGCAGAAAAAAGGGGAGGTTTTTTGCACATCCCAGTCCAGAAGAGATGGACCAACACAGGTATTTCATAAAGATGGAGTAAATAACATATATTCCTTCCACCTCCCATTTCAGCCAACAGACACCCTCCCTTGCTCATTTATCCTGTGGGGTGGGGTTTCTGAAGTTCCTTGGTACAGAATCACAGAATCACATGGGGTTGGAAGGGACCTCTGGAGATCATCTCGTCCAACCCTCCTCACAGAGTAGGTCCACCCAGAGCAGGTTGCACAGGAACGTGTCCATGTGGGTTTGGAATGTCTCCAGAGAAGGAGACTCCACCACCTTTCTGGGCAGCCTCTTCCAGGGCTCTGTCACCCTCAAAGTGAAGAAGTTCCTCCTCATGTTTAGATGGAACTTCCTATGTCCAAGTTTGTGCAGTAACATGGAGTTTCAAGTCTTTCAAACTCACATTATTCAACCTGAGGAGTGGGATAAAAATGCCTTTATCCACCCAAGAGATGAAAACATAGAAAATATACCCTCCTTCAGTGTCCACAAGTGCCTAACAGCGGCGTTCACAAAATCACCCATGACATCCTCTCATCAAAATTAACAGCTCTACTTGATTAGCATCAAGCACTGCCTATACATTTTATCCACCTATTTTTGTGTTTAAACTTTGGAACGTATACACCGAGTTTAGAAGCTTCAAAAAGCCTATGGCCATAATCTTGCGGCCTAATTAGATTGAGCAGTGTCTTATTATGGAGAACGAAGGTAATACATTGATAGCAGGAATTAATTTTATCTTGCTTTTTCAGAAACCTGTCCGCACACATTCTTCTTTGGATTTCAGGGGGGGAAAAAGCAAATTCAATTTCTACTCCCAGAATACTAATGAGAACTTCTCTTATCACCTTTAATTTTTCTCGACTATTCTCTCTGAGATGGCATTAGATCAATGCACGAACCAAAGCTGGTTAAAAGATTAGATAAGGATTTTGCATGAGGTTCAGCACGAGCTGCATAACCTCCTAAGCAAAAAGCCTGAACAGATATTAAATGGAAGAGATGCAAGAGATAATTTAATGGTAATTAAGCACACACTGCCACAGGGCAATTGAATAGTTTTCCTAGAAGTCTTTTGTGTTTGCTCAATTATTGCTTTTATTATTATTGTTAATATAGTTAAATGAGAGAAACGAGAATATTTTTTGTCTGTTGGAGAGAAAAAAGGCCCTATCTTTAAGAGCCCATATATATACAAAGACACTCTGACAAATCTAAAGAACTCTACTAGTTTTTTCTCGTTTTGCTACAAATTCAGAAGTATGTTAAGAGGGAAGACGAATCCCAATCTGTGGGCTTTGGAGATACTGTTATCTGTGAGCTTCTGTGTCACCTGCAGAACTGCCCTCCTTGGTGGCTTGTGCAGACCTTTCTTCACCGGGTGGATGTTCCATCAACAGCACGCAACGCCTGGAGGAAGGCTGAAGAGCATGTCATCGAGATATATCTACACTCTCCAAGCAGAGCAAGTTACCACCGCTGCTGTTCTGCTCCACATTTTAATTGTTCAGAATGGGATCTCTACAAAGGCTAAATCAGAAAAATTTGTAGGATGCTATTTAATATTACTTGATTTTACCTAGTCTGTAAGGCAACACCAATTTATATAAACTTCTCACACAAACCTCGTTTTGAAAAAGCCACCCTAAAAAAACTCCACCCAACCAAACAAAAAAGAGCAAAGCAGAAACCCTTACTGATTTCCATCA